GATGATCTGATACCTGCTACGAAATGTGATGAAACTGTTATGACCATTAATGGAAGCAGATTAAGGAGGAAAGTGCCGTTGATGGGGCAGAATGTCGTCGCCCATGTTGTGACAAGTCATGTGTTATGGTCGCTGGTACATTTCATCTACCTGTAGTTCAAGAGCACTACTTTAAAGACATCAGCTGTTCAGCACCATTGAAGCACAAAGCACACAAAGAAAAGGTTTACCAGCATCACTGGAATTCGCACTTTGTGCCAAGTGCACTGTTTCCACAAATTAGACTCTGACAGAAACCTTGCACCTTCAAACATGCATACAATAGTTCCCTCTGTGTGCTGGTGAGTTAGGGCCAATAAAATGGTGAAAGACAATTATATTGGGGAAAATAAATGTGTTTTGCTGGTTCTGAAAAGATAAACACTGTTTTCTTCACTCCACTCCAGATCATTATACTCAATGGCGGCTGAAAATTAGACAGCAGAGGCACCACATAACTTCATGCCACACCATGCTTAGCAGCACCCACAATGTTGCAACACAAAAGAGCAACGGGTAACTCTGCACTCCTGTGGCTGAAGGTCTTTTCTGAGGCCAGGAGTGGGCAGTGGCTTTCTCTTGTATTAGAGTCGGGCATCAAACACAAGTGTAGTCTGATTCTATTAATCTTACAAGATTAATCCATACAGTGTAACACTGCAGCTTATAGTCCAGGGCTCTTCAGTTCTGGTCCTGAAGGGCCCAGCGCAGTTTTTTTCAATGCTTTAAACTGCACTATGCAAAGTTTGTTAAAGTTTGTTGTTAAGACTGAAAGCAGAAGCATAACTGAGGAAAAAACACTCTACACTATGGTGTCCATGCACTACTGTGAGACACCCTGTAAAACTGAAATAATCATTTAAAAGCCAGAGGCATCAAGTCAGATTTCGCAGGGGTTTTATGGACTGCATTGTTTATGCCTTAATGTCACACACAAAGACTCAAAAAGGGCTGGCTTGATGTTTAGTTTTCAAATACAAAATCAACTTTATACTGATAATGATGACAATAGTACAACCCTGTTTCCATAAAAGTTGGGACACTGTGCCAAATGTAAATAAAAAGAGAATGCAATGATGCACAAATTATTTAAACTCTATTGAAAATAGTACAAAGAAAACAAAGCAAATGTTGAAACTGAGAGATTATATTGCTTTTTTGTTTTAAAAATACACACCGATTTTGAATTTGATGTCAGCAACATGTTTAAAAAAGTTGGGACAGCATGTTTACCACTGTGTTGCATCACCTCTTCTTTGGGAACTGAGGAGACCAAGTGCTGTAGCTTTGAAAGTGAAATATTTTCCAATTTTTTGCTTGATATAGGATTTCAGCTGCTCAAAGTATGGGGTCTTTTTTGTCATATTTTTCTTGTCATAATGCTACAAGACCTTCCCTGAAAAAGACGTCATCTGGATGGCAGCATATGTTGCTCCAAAACCTGCAAATATCATTCAGCATCAGTGGTGCCTTTACAGGTGTGCGTCACCAATACCATGTGCCCTAATGCGCCCTCATACAATGACAGATGCTGGCCTTTGAACTGTGTGTCAATAACAAGCCAGAGGAAGACATAGTGTCCATGAATTTCAAAAAGAATTTCAAATTTTGATTTGTTGGACTGCAGGACACGTTTCCACTTTGCCTCAGTCCATCTTAAATGAGCTCAGGCCCAGAGAAGATGGCGGCGTTTCAGGATCCTGTTGGATATATGGTGTCTTCTCTGCATAGTAGATTTAACTTGCATTTGTGGTTGCAGTGTTGAACAGTGTTCATAGACGATGGTGTTTGGAAGTGTTCCTGAGCCCATACAGTGATTTCCACAACAGAATTGTATCTGTTTTTTTAATGCAGTGCCACCTGAGGGCCGAAAGATCATGGCCAGCCAGTATTGGTTCTCAGCCTTGTCTCTTTCATACAGAAATTTCACTCAAATTTTCAACAGAGAGGTCTCTAAATCCCCAAAACATATATAGTGTAGCTTTAAACACCTTGTTCAACTAATCTTGTCATCTAATCTTGCCCACATTTTAGTAGGGCCTTCTAGACCTTCAGAGAAGGCCTAATAATTCCTGTGACATTTAATAGTCAATTTTAATTTAGCATATTTATTCATGTAACAATGTGTGTTGTATTTAAACTCTACAAATATAACATTACAGTACAACTCTTATTTCATTGTTAAGATTTGGTTGGAAACAAAGGGACTAAATGCCCATTGGAAAATGATCAAATTAAGATTTTATTTCTCTGTGGTGTCTTAGTAGATACAGCCATGTAAGCACTCCCATTGGTTAGGATTTCGGGAGCTGAATTGAAGGCCTAATGTGTCAGATTATCATTGACATAATGAGGGACTGAGAGGAATCAACCAAAGACTTGATTTACAATGGGTGGTACCAAATGTCACTTTAGGCCCTCTGGAAGTTCTAGATATGTCACTAACTATGAAAGTGAGCCACAATCTAACCAGGTTTCAGTCAGCTGTTAGAAATGGAAAACAGTGAGAGCTCTATGTCAGTTACTGTAAAACTACTTCAATGTAAAATATATTTTAATATGTCTTATACAAACTTTAAATGTTGTTAGTCTAGAGCGGCCAAAAATGTTTACGTGAATCATTATCAGCTTAATGCCAAAATGCTATTGGAATCCCATAAGGACCCTAGCAGAAATTAGCCTGATTGTAGAGGTGTTTTATTCATTGTTTTTGATTAACCTTCAACATATATGGCCTAAACTGTAAGCCTAGCTGTAAAAGTCACAATTCACAACTGTATTTTAGTTTCCCACAAACCTGTTTTTATGAAACAGGCTTTAAATATTTGCTCTGAGCAATTAGCATTTATATGGCATTTAAGCAGCAGGGTGTGAAATGTAGATTGTTTTCTTTTAGCTAATTAAAGCTTTTTTTTTGCCAGAGAAAAGTTCAAAATGAAACCTGGGAGGAACCTTTACACCCACCACTCACACACACACGCACACACGCACTCACACACACGCACACACTCATATGCAAATGCATGCATGGAATACATTGTGCTGAAAACACTCCATATTGCAGACACTTACAGAACTCCACACGTACACAGAGCATTGATAAAGGCATGATGAAGTGAAACACAGGGTGATCAAAATTTACTGCAAAACCTTGTGCCATTGGGTCAAACCACACGCCACTTTATAATTGGCACCGATGAAACAAATACGGTTCCTGGTACAACTGGCTGCAGCTTCCTGGCATGCTATTTTTGGAAAGGAAGGTAAAATTCTAGGAAAATACACACGCACTAAGCACAGAAGTATCTGCCTCCATTCAAGCCTTGTCAAGGTGGTGAAACACTAATGGCAATAGAAGCTGCCCAGGAGCAGACAGTGGCTTTGCTAATCAACCTTATTACAACATTACTGTCCAGTATTGTTACCTTGTGGTGAAAGAAAACTGTATACTGGACTGAGACCTGGCTGCCACTCTTTCATTCTAGTAAATGGGTGCATATTTTTGCAGGCTGTATTTAGAACTGTTTAAACAAGATCATAGTAGTTTTACTGTTACTTGCACTTGTCACTTGTTTTCAGTCCTGCTGCATACACACGTCTTTAGCAAATCTATTCTCATATCTGTGATGAAGCATGCATTCATGAAGAATTAGAAGCACATTGGATGACCTACCTGATGTCCAGAGAGCATAAGCTGGTTGCTTTACGTCTTCTTTCCTCTATTTTGGATTGTTTAACTTTTAATATGGTCAGTATGGTCCCCACAGTCAGTATGGCAGTGTTAAACAGTCCTCAAAGCTACTGAAGCTACAGTTACAACACAAGAAGTGAGAGAGGGAGAAATCTTCACTCCACTCAATAATCCAGTGACCCAAACTGCTGCTGCTGCAGCTGTGTGCAGCTCTCTCTCTCTCTCTCTCTCTCTCTCTCTCTCTCTCTCTCTCTCTCTCTCTCTCTCTCTCTCCTCTCACTCTCTTGCTCTCTCCACAGAGTAACAGCAGATCCGATCAGGCCTAACACAACAATCAGATGCCATTCATTCAGTAAGGAAATAGAACTACTGATTGTTTTCTCAAGATTTGGTTTATTTTAGGGGAAATTGTTAAGTTTTTAATTTAGGCCACAGACAAATATCCCGCCGCTGATGTCATTGAAAACATTGAGCTTAAACTTGTAATGTAAGGTAATTGGCTTAGCCTACATTTCACTCCAGTAGGGTTAGATAGAAGTGGATTATTCTGTTCCATTCAGTGATTATAACTGATAATATAAAGACTGTATGAAGTAATGATAGTATCTAGTATCTATGATAATAGTACCTAGGATTATAGGCCTACTGTGCTACTCTGTGAACATAATAACAATCAACTGAATTGTATACTTATAAACACTGGATGATACCACAACATTCATTGATTATAAGTAGCTAATTTGTGCCAAAATTAGAAGTAATATGTACTGTATTTGTGCATTTTTTTTATTTCAAATTTTGCACTTTTCAGAAACTATCATATTCAATGAAATAATACAAAATTTATATTAAAAGGGAAACATTACAACAAATATGTTAAAATAAATAAAGGATTTGGAAAAGAAATCAAATCACATCACATCTAAATATAAAAAATACCATTTTAAGGGGATTCATACAAAATACTCATAATATTTCAAGTATTTGTTGGGTTATTTTTGGTCTTTTGAGTTTAAAATAAAAGAATAAAAGAATTAAAATTATTTCCTACCAGTAAAATGTAAAATTTAGGAATTTAAATGTATTTTTTCTTCTAGATATTTTCCCAGTGCTGCTATTTTAGATGCGTATGAACACAAGACTACATAGCTCAGTAGGCTTCAGAGAGTGACGCAGACTTCTTGTAGCCAATCACATTTCACGTTTTCACCACGTTGCTCAAGCCACGCCTCCTCGCCTAGCAACCGCCACAAACGGAGGGAGTCTGGAGGGAGTATGGAGGACACTGGATACTATAGAGAGACTATAAACTAACTTATTTCTCACAAAAGCGCCGCTTCGGCCGCGAGTGAAGATGGTAAAGCAGACCATTCAGATCTTCGCCCGCGTTAAACCGACGGAGAAACCGCCGGCGGTGAGTGCTTTGGGCTTCAGTGCTGCTGAGTGCAGTTCACCTGGAGCCAGTGCTGTGCAGGTTTTCTCAGTTAATGTGGGGCAGTCCTCAGGTCAGTGCAGTCCGTCACTGTCTAAAACAGTTTAGCAAGTTATCCTACACTCATTACATTATCGACATAGCTAGTTTATAACTAGTTTTACTAGTTAAGTGTGTCCTGAATGTACCTGCAGGTCAGATTAGCCAGCAAACAGCACAATATTCATATTCATCATTCATTCACACAGGTATTACAGCAGGTTAAGCTCAGTAAATTGTGGAAGCCAATATAGAAAAATGTAGTTATAGCCCTTTAGTAAATCATACTAATGAAAAAGTTTTCCATTATTATGACTCACCTTCTAATAATTATGACAGCACCTTCCTTCTATTATGAGAAACCTTTGTCATCATTATGAGGTAGTAAGTAATTATTATGAGATACTGAGTCACAACTATCAGTGCTGGAAACAGACTTCCATAATAAATGCACTAATAACAATATAAAATATTCCCATATTGCAGGTGTTGTTAGAGGCTGTAGCCCATCTATTACCATGCACTGTGGGTGGGTGAATAGCAATGCTTCTGCACTTGAGGGAAAATTAGAGGTACACTTGGTAAAATACTATGTGATTAAAAGTACAAGTACTTTATCTGCATTTCTACTTGAATAAAAGTACTTTCTTAAGTGTATGTGTCCAACATAAAAGTACACTGAGGTATTATAGATCTTTTATAATATTATTCTGTTGGACAAGTGACCTGTGTGGTTGCAGACGTGGAAAGCTTGATAGAATACTTGTACTTTTACTCAAGTGGTATTTTACCAAGAGTACATCTAGGCCACTTTTACTTAAGTACAGAAGTATTGCACTTTGTCCACCCCTGCCAGTTTGAGAGTTTTGAAACCATGCGTCTGACTTGAGATGTGCAATATGGCAAACATGTCATAATGTCCCAATGTTTATTTTTTCTGACATCTGATAAACTGGAACAGACAATGTAGTTCCACATTAAAAATACTTTATAAAACCAGCATTTAGCAAATTGGGCTGCACTAAATCCACTTAAACAGGACTAAGTATGAGCTCTTTGTAATCAAACATGCGGTTGGAATGTTTTTAAGTACTGGCGATACCCACGATAGGTAAGTATAACGGGAGGTGTGTCTTCCAAAAAGTTCCACAAAATATTATTCCAAAAGGCTTGGCTGTTATCAAGGTGCTTTTTGTTTTTAATGATGATGGAATGATGAATGCTGACCTTATCTGAGGGGAAGTGTGGCCTGCGGTTCCTTAGATGTCGTCTTGGTTCTTTTGTGACTTTCTGGATGCGCCGTCGCTGTGCTCTTAGAGGAATTTTGGTAGGCCGGGCACTTCTGGGAAGATTCCTCACTGTTCCCGTTTTTCTCCATTTGCAGATGATGGCTCTCGCTGTGGTTCGCTGGAGTCCCAAAGCCTTAGAAATGGCTTTGTAACCCTTTCCAGACTGATGTATCTCAAATAACTATCTTTCTCATCTCTTCCCGGAAATTTCTGTGCTGCTTGTTGGGACCTTTTAGCCCAATTCACATTACTGGAAGGACTCTGTTTAAGGATATTTAGATTCACCAGGGCTGGCAGTAAAGGCTAGATGTGTCAAGTTTAATTAATTCCAATTATTAACTAAATTTGGTTTATTGATCTTTGTCTTATGTTAAAATGTTAAAAATAGTTTGACAAATATGTAAAAATGGAAGAAATCAGACTGGGGCAAATACTTATTTACTGCACTATAAGCAAGTAAGTCATCACACTAATGGGGTGATACATGGACAATGGTGGGATATAGACATGGATGGACTGAACATTTGGGCAATGCAGTAGCTGAGTGTTGTCAAACAGATATTAAAGACTTGCTTTCTTTAAGACTTGTCACGTTACACCTGTGTACTCAAAGCTTTGAATGGTATTCAAGCTTTCAGTGCATGTAACAGGTCAAAAATGTGTCTCATTGTCAAGAAGAATGCTACTTATCAAGGAGTGCATTCATTATACAAGCAGCAAGAACAGCAGTTAAGAGCTTTGGAGCTCTTCATGAATGTTCAGTCTACATAGCCTACATACCAGATGAGCTAGGCCATGTGTAGACACATTTGATTGTTCATTTACAGCTGATGTGGGATCTCCTGTTTTCCCCGCCCTGTCACATCTGAGTAAACTCACCAGGTGTTTATTAAGCAAGTCGTGAGCTGAGTCAGGTGTTTTGGCAGGTTTCCTGCAAAAGTGTCTGGTGAATGGGATCCTCAGAGGCCACTGCTCCGTAAGTTGTGCTCTCGAATGAGGAGGCTTTTTTTCTCTTGCTTTTTCCAGGTGTACTCTGTGGATAATGAGGAGCAGAGCGGAGGCAGATTGGAGTTTGTGGTTCCAAGAGATCTAGCAGATGGCTTCATCAATAACAAGAGGGAGAGCTACAGATTCAGGTGAAAATAATAAATGCAAATGTTAACATGCACTAGTCTGCATCTCACCACTCAAACATTAGACTGTACTGTACATGAATAATTTGTTGAAAACTTTAACTCAAAATTACACAGTTTTCCCTTTACCGCAAAAGTAGCCATCAGCTAAGACTATAGCTGTGAGGCTAATGTAGCTACATATAATAGAAGTTTAAATTGAGCAGAGTTGACTAGAGCTTGAAATATTTGTCAGAACCTGACAGGACCCAGCTATTCTTAGTGGGGACATCATTTCTCGAATATCTGTCGCTCTGGCAGTGTGGTCCGGTTAGGTCCTCGAGGTCAGCATGAGAACAACACATTAGCCTATGCAGCCTAAAATTTATTCAGACTGCTATCTATTAGAATGTTGTTTGAAGGCATTGATTCTTGAATATATATTTTAAAGTGAACTTCAAATGTAATTTTATTTAGCTGAAAATTAGGCTATTTTTTATTTTACTTTTTATTTTATTAACTCAGGGCTGTTATTGTCGTTAGGTAAATTAACACTGTCAGTAAGGTAATTTAGCAGGCCCCCCATTAGGAATGTGCAGATTTTATTTGGTCTCTGGTTGGTGGTCTTTGGGTTTGGGTTGGGTTGGCTTGGCTTGTCACAGTCATTAAGTTTTACTTGAGGATTTCTTGCCATGTAAATAATTGTGATTAACAATTTAATGTAATTTATTTATTTTCTTTTTCATTAAAGGCATTTAAGACTACAGGCTTAAAGTGGTCAAATTGGGTTGGGCTTCTTAGCTGTTGATACGTGAGCTCAAATAAACAAACATTGCTCACTGCTGCCCCTCTAAAGGTGATATAGCACCACTCAAAAGTTAGAACTTCTGTTGTTTTTTGTAAGAGCCATGCTGAATCTCAATAAATGTTTTTTGCTTTCATTTATTTATATGCTTTTGCCTCATCTGAATGTATGAACATGCATCCAATCCACATTCTGTTTGTTGTGATTTGAACACATGATTGTAAAAGCTAAGGAATATCGAAAGTAGTTGTGGTCGGCTGAAATAATTATGATTGTGAAAGGCCTAGTTTGGATTCAAATCTTGTGCTGTGGGTCAGTTCAAACTCAGACAGCATTAAAGCTCTCAAAGATGTTAGATAATCTGAAATAGACTTGCTTATGTTGTTCCTGACACTGTTTGACATACAGTTGGCTTAAGGGCCCTGTATTGTGGGAAAACAAAATTCCCCTTGCTTAAGTCAAACTTGAGCTTTGTTAAAGTTTCAGAAACATTCCCCTATGGAAACCTGCTGCAAAAAAACAGCCCATTTTGAATTCATTTTTTCTGTGATGCCGCAAGAACCAGCTCTTTTTCGTAGATCCATCTGTTTAGCCTACAGCAGTCTGCCCATTCATATTGAAGCTATATAGATTTTTTCACTTCTGAGTGCTTTTTGAATAAGCCATAATACAGGACAACCAATCACAATAGAGCCCGTTTATCTAATATCAGTATTACAGGCACAGTAACGAAGACAGTCTCTTTAATTCTTAGAAAACAGAAGTTGGAAATGGTCTGTTAATGTTAATTATGGCCATTTTTGGTCAAATATGGACCTCGGGAATAAAATATATATATATATTATATATATATATATATATATATATATATATATATATATGCATACATACAACAAAAATGCAGAATATAGGCTCTTTAAAGTCAGCAAAGTGTGTTGCATAGCAATAACAGTAGTAGTGGCAATTTAAAGCCTGTGTGTTGTCCATACTTTTGTCTATTTTTATAGAGAGCAGTATGCCATGCAGTCTCAGAAAACACACAAGGATGTCTATTTGAAATTGCTTAGCAACTCGATACAGTTTTAAGCGATTGTGTGATGCTTTAGGCATGCAGTTCGTGCGATGCTAACTGGTGACGTGGTAGCATCCATTACTTGTTGGCTGCATTAACCTCATAGCTTCGGCGCAAAAACTAGAGAAGCAGACTTCAGACACCAAACATTTCCTGGTTGATTGTTTTTTCATCAAACTGTCCCTGTAAGTATGCACATCAGGTCGTTATTAATTCACACAATTACTCTAACACTATGAATTTAGGGTCACTAACACAGCCAAGTCATTTTCACTCTTTGCCATTTAAGCCATCGTGTTTCATGAACTATCAGTGACATCTCTGTAAAGCTGGAGCTGCAGCATCTGATTTACTCTATTCACGGACACTCATGCTTACCCAGTGGCCAGCGCAAATTCAAAATTCACAGTTGTAAGCGCCAGTAATGGATAGTGCCAACCACAGGACTTTAATAGACTTCCCAAATCTCCTTTGCTCATGGAAAAGAAATCCCACATTTATGGCATTAAGAGTTGATTCCCATTCTTATCCCGTATAGTGTCACCCGGGACATTTTTTAACAGGGTGGAGCAACAATACAGAGCTTCTGAATAGAACACGTTTATCTTCAGCGCTGTGTTTCGAAAGAGTAATCAAACACATTTCATTCGAGACTGGATTCTGCTTTGAAGTAGACTTTCCAGAATTACTTGATTCTAACATTCCTCTTGCATATTCTCTGTGAAAATATTTTCTCAAATCCCAGTCTTAATGACAAGTTGACTTCAAGCTGACTTTGGGTTTTATTAATTTTTTGTGTTTTTAATTTTTGTTTTTTGTGTTTTATTCATTTTTTGAGTTTTATAAATTTTTTTGAGTTTTATTTAATGATTTATTTTTCTTTGTAGGTTTCAAAAGGTTTTTGATCAAGCAGCCAAACAAGAGGAGATCTTTGAGACAATTGCCAAGCCTGTAGCTGATAAGTGAGTATGATAGCTTGCTCTTTGGCTATATTTACACAGACAGTCAAGTCTAATTTTAACATGTGCCGTATGTATTTTATCTTTTCCTTGACCTGTGAACCACAGTAAACTAGAACCAGATCTTTTCCGCTTTGATTTGGATCGTATTCACAGACCAATGTAGCCGTTTCAGCAAACAATCACAGATCATCTTGTCTAAGTAGCAATAGCTTAGACAGGTTCAGTCAAGCCAAGACAACAAACCTGAATTCTTCATTACAGCCTTCTGTTTTTATTCTACAATTTCTAAGTCATGCAAAACATTTTTGCCTCTGCCAGAGCTTTTGTAGTATAATATTGAAAAACCTGGTTGAATGCTTTATTCAGATTGGTGAATGACCATGATTTTCTGATAATGACCAGTGCATAATGACTTCTATTTCACACCGAATCATATCACACCAGGGTTAATTAGGCACGGCTCAGGGTTAATTAGGTACGTCCTTCAAGCTGGATGTCCTCTAGTACGATATGAAACAATTCCTCGGACATTGTTTATGAACATGATTTGAAACGGTTTATTACAGCAACTCTAGCTATTTGGCAGGTCATGATTTTGGGGCACTGCAATTCACTGTGATGGTGGACCCTGTGCTCCAGCAGGAGTGGAAGGACATAAGAAGAAAAGGGCATTGTGTGGTGTAATCTAGCCTAACTAAAATTATGCTTTGTGGGAAAGACTGCAAACATCCTAAATAACATTCAGTGGAAGGAAATGAACCATTTGGTGAATAGCTACAGCATTAGCAGGACAGACTAGCCTCTGTTTGCTTCTACAGGTTGTTTTCAAGGTGGTTAAACATCTCTTTTCATCAGGGTAGTTGAACCTTCCTGCCACGGCTTACTTTGAATATGCATTTGGAACTACTTAAAACAGTTTACGGAGGTTTTACGGTCACCTGCAACCACTACTGCATGCAGTACTGTGGTATATCTGTCACTGCCTGGACAAAACCTTGCATCTCCAAAATGGACTTTTCAAGAGAAGGAGAAACATTGTTCACTTCTAATGGAAGTTATTGTAAAATATTGAAGTAATTTTGGACCATTTCTTTAAGTCACTTCACTATAAGAAATTTAACACAATTTAAAAGTTATGTGTCGTTTTCAAATTGTGTCAAAAAGTAATAATAAGTTTCAACAGTGGTGATACACAAGTCTGTAAAAGGGTACCAAAACAACTTCTATGACTTGTAGCAATAGCTCTTTTTTTAGTAATACCTTTTTTCCATGTGTCCATTCAAAGAACAGTTTAAGAATCCAAATTAACCCTGTCCCAATAATTGATATTACTGAATATTAAATAATTTGGCCCCACTTTATTTGGATGGTCACCTATAGATGCTCTACAGATACTTAAATCATTAACAAACTTTCTGGTGATACACAGTTGAATATCAAAACTTTATGGTTGTGAATAGGTTTAGGAGTAGGTGTAGATTTTGCCTTGAGGTTAGAGTTCGTGTTAGGTTTAGGATTAGGGTTAGATTTAATAGAATCTTCCACACTCAACTTCAAGTCCAGTTGCGTTTAATGTATATTTAGTTGAATGTCACTTATTGATATACTGACCATCTACAAAGCATCTACAGTGGACCATCCAAATAAAGTGTTACCCATAATAGGTGCCTGCATTATGTAAATTATCATTCTTTCATTAATTTTTAATGCTTTGCCTTTATTTAACCACCTCCTTTGTAGAATCGGTACAGTTGAAAAGATTGCACTTAATACAGCTGTGCAAACAGAACATCACCAACTAACTACCTACATGCATATATGCTTTGAACGTCATGTTGAAAGATTTTAACATAGATTTTTAATCTGGCAAAGAGTGATGAGATAGGTGCAAATGAAACGAGGCAACTCCGGATTTATTGGTGTCAGTTTGGCAGAATTTTTTTCCAACAAACGAATGCAGAGAACCGCTGGATGTTAACAGTGTTACATGCCAACTGTACAGAAAACAGTTATCATTATAAAGTATTAAGTAATATTAGCCAGCCTAGATGGTAATTGTATGGTAATTATGGTGCTTTGTAACTGAATTTGGATCATGATTATCTAGTTTATTGCAATAATTATGCTTAATGACTGTGATTGTTCATCTAGATTTACATTATTGTCCAAGCCTAATTCAAATTGCTCTTCGAGTTGCCATGGTTCTATATAGAGTCATTGCTTTTACTAAAAACCCCTGAGAAACCATTTTTAAAGACTGCATAAAGAAATGATATTGATACTGTACACCTAACCAAACAGTTAGCGGCGTGTTGAGAGACCTAGCAAAAATCCTTATAGGCCTTAACTTTGCAGTCAAGTTGGTCGTAAATTATCCCGAATGCAGTGAATTTTGTGACAATCACATATAAATGAATGCTCTGCTTCTGCTAAAATCTGAAACCATTAAATAAGTCCTACAAAAAATGTGCTGTTCAGTTTTAGCAGAGTGCTGTCAGACACAGCGAGGTCTCTATGGTTGAATTGCAGCTGTAATGTCTGCTGTAAAGTGCTGCCTTTGGAGCAGTTCTTAGCATTTCTCCCACTTATCCATGTCACTACTCTGATAAAATGAAATGTAGTCATTTTATATAGGCTAATTTTCTGCTTTTACCATCTGAGCCAAGCTCATTTTTTCATCATTTAAGCTCAAGCCAAGCTTTTTTCACCTACTAGGTTGCGACCTGCCTTTTTGAAATGGAGTGTTGCAGGCTATCTAAGTGTAAAGTGTGCAGGAAATTGTGAATGGTGTCTGGCCTGGACTTGGACCACACAGGCTTCATGGCTCACACAGAAAGCTGAGCTGGTACATGGACAGTAATGAAGGAAAGCTGTGATTCTTGGCCTGTCTTTGCCCTCTAACCACTGAATGGAGCATTGGCACTACATACAGTGCCATACCAGTCAGCCTTTGGAATTTCACTCGTTTCATCATATTTAGATTCTTGGAACGTAGAGGCGGCTGGATTTTGGAAAATACTCAATTTGTTGGTGATGATGATTTGATTTATTGTGTGAGAAGGTTATCATGAGCAGTTTAGTTCATTGGTTTTACCAGTGAAAGGCCTTTAGCATTCCTTCACTTACAAACCTTTAAACCTATAATATTAGTACAGTGCTGGCGAATGGCCTCTTTTAAGTTTACGAATACACTTGGTCAAAGCCTTGATCAACTCTCTCCTCCATCGGATGCCACGTGGCTGTATCTTGTCATTCTCATCAAAAAGTGGCTCGTCTAACAGTGAAATCATAAACCTCCTCACCAGCAACCAAAGGCACCATGAAAAACATGTCACCGAGAAATAAAACCAGGTCCTCTGAATATATTAAAAGAACGTCTCTCTTGCATTACTCATAATCTCAATTTGGAGTGTGCTTAAAACCCCACCCTTCATGTGGGTTGGTAGACCTTTAATTACCATGACGACTCAGGATAGGGACAGAGTGGCATGGACTTCTTAGTGACTCGCCCTTCGATCTTACCAGAGAAGTTTTATATAGACTGGTGGTGGATTTATAAATCCATAAGGAAATTTCCATTAAGAGGGGAGGAGCAGGAAGAGGGAGCTTTTGGAGGTGCAGACTTTATGAGGAATGTCTCTGCACAGAGCTTTTGTTGACTGCTGCCATTTGTGACTTGATGCTTAGTGTGAAACTTTCTGTAAGTCGTTCGGCTTTTGGTCTGTGAGCTTTCAAAGAGGCAGTCGTTTGATTTTGCTCATTAGAAGTCTAGACGTATTGCCATCACTTTATTGTTTTTTTTAAATGTAATGACACAAACACATGATTAATTACTTAGTCATGTAAATTACATGTGTATTCTATGTACATTCTGTATTGCCATGTTTGAATCTGCACTGATATTTTTGTTTTTTTTAATATCAACAAAAGATAAACATGGAAAATGTAAGGGATGTGTTTATCTTTCTGCATGACTGTACACACAACAAGAACTTTTTTTAATCTAATTCAAATCATAATAAAATATTTCCTACCAGTGAGGGGAAAAAAATCATATAAAATACCACCACATTTTTATTATTGTCAGTGATGATCTCTGAAGGTTCGTCAGCATCAGCATCAGCAGTACGTCAGTAATTATGACTGTATGACAGTTTTGATTTCATCATTCTAATTTTTGTCCCTACACTGTAAAAAATCACTGTAAAATTGCAATAAACTACTGGCTAATTTCACTGTAAGTTATTGTATCATATTAACAGTAAATTACAGTAATATAGCGAATATGCAGTCAGCTGGACCACAAGATTACTGTGATGTAGCTGTATTGTTTTTATTTTTTGTATTGTCTGTATTTTTACATAATGACTGTAAAAGTAACACAGCTCAATAGCCAGTAATCTACTGAAAATTTACATATTAAAATAATTTTACCATTTATTATAATTTTACCAGACATATAAATTTATATTAATTTATATTGTGTTCAGGTTTTCTTGCAATAATCTTAAATGATTATATGTTAATGCTGGAATACTGGAATGTTGCTGCTCTTACCAGGAATAGCTAGTAAACAATAATTCTAAACAATTATGAACAATTGATTTAGAACAAGAATAGAGCAAGATCATATTTTTGTCCTCTGGAGCAGTTTGAGTCTGAAAGGGTTAAATGCTCAGGCACTGTGAGACATTCTTGGCTAATGACTGAACACAACAAGCAATCGACTAGTCTGTAAATAAATACTATTGTATTTAACCAGATTATAGAGAGATTGTAAAACTCCAACATACAAAGTAAAAAAGTTACTTTAATGTCTGTTACAAGCCTTAATTGTCCATGTTTACGGTGGAGTATACTAAAAACATGACCAGACACAACCGTTAGCTTGATGCTGATATTACATAGGGATTTCTATTGATGGGCTAATGGAAATTAGCATTATGTCAGTGGTAGAGAGCGAATTGAAAACATGAAAACGTGAAACACGTTCATGATTTTATCTCTGTTTTACAGACACTAAGTGTTAATTCAAGTTATTCGTCCCTGAAGCATCCCAAAATGGTTTAAACATCATCCTGTGCGCTGTTTCATCGTCCCTGGGACGACGGGACAGCAGTAGTCTGATTTTACACTGTACTTATAAGTTGTGCAAACATGACCAAAAGCAATAAATATCACACCAATCAAAATAAATAAATAAATAAGTAAATACAGTCAGTGCAAAACTTTAAAAGTCTCACCAAAACCTGAATCATCAGAAAAAATTACATATTTTTATTAAAATGTTTATGCCTTTTTAGCTCAGTGTCAACCTCACAGTAATTTGCTGAGTTATTACAGAAAATATCTTAAGATGAGTTGATTTCACAATAATAATAAAAAAACAGTATTTTACTATGAAAAATTTGTGAAATAACAGTGTGAATATGGCAGTAAGAGAGCCTGAGAAAGACCATGGCGTGATCTCTCTTTCTCTGTCTCTCTCCCTGTCTCTGTTTCTGTCTCTCTCTCTCTCTCTCTCTCTCTCTCTCTCTCTCTCTAGCTAATGATTTGTGGTTTTCACTGATGTTTTATATGATCTGTGTTCTTACAGCATCATCAGTAGGACCTTTCTAAACGTCTCATGGTACCAGTCTGTTTAGTCAGAGACCCCCTCTTGCTTCACTGATTTGTGGATGAGTCAGGCGATGACCAGTTACTCCTTAATGTCAAACAGCTCCCAGTAAGCTTCCAGGATGCTGTTTATGAGGACTATTTACTACACTTTGGGCATTCCTAGACTTGACTTTTCCAGTCTTGTCTAATAAGTGGTTGGTGCTAAATGTAGACAGGTTCTGTGAGTCACCAGAGCAGTTGTAAGTAGCAATTCAATGTCCATAGTATTTTATCACCTGTAATGGACTTTGCTGAAGAAGAAAGATGTTCCACATATGTCAGTCGTTTTCTGCTCAGGGATCGAATAATTCTTTGATTTTTGTTGCACGCAATTCTGCAGTAAACTGTACTGAATCCAGATGTCATTGCACAGCTCATGATGACTAGTACCGTCAGGAAATGCGACTCCTAACAACTGTGCAGGACCTGGTAGACACCAAAACGTCCCCATCAGATGAGCAGTACTTTTAGCTTTCTTTTTTGAGAGAGAGGTGAAAATCAAGCTCCATTCCTGCTTCAGATTTGAAAAAATCCACAGGTGTTTCTGTCCATCCTTCCACTGTGAGAAGACAACTCAGAAGACTTTACTGAGAAAAGGAAACAGATTAACAAAAATAATAAAAAAAAAAAACAATGCAAATTAAATAAAGAATCTGCTGGTGGACAATGGACTAACCACCCTAGAGTCCAGATCTCAGCATCACCGAATGTGTTTGGGATTTTTTGGGTCATGAAAAGCAGAAAATGCAACAAACTTCTAAGACTGAACTTTGGAGTTGTGGAAAAATATCCCTGCAGAGCAGACTGGAATAAAGAATGTAATAAAGATAGATTTTGATATTATGTTTAGTTGTTGCAGCTTCTGTGTTATTTTGGGTTTTATGTTTTTTGCCTTTTCTCCTGACGCTGAAAAATGAGGAACTTGTTTGACCGAAAGTTAAAGAAATGTAGGGTGTTTTCTTACTTTTGCACAGAACTCTAGTTGATCAGTCATAAAATATTTGGTGTCCAAAGTTTTCTTCTTTAGTCTTGCCCTGGAGCTGTGAGGCTAATATAGCTAACAAGTAATGGAAGCTTGTACCCACCTATTAGCATCATGCTACCCGTGTGCCTAAATCAGTACACATGTTAAACTGTGTAAGTAAGTAAATAGTGTAATAGCTGTAAATCACTCTTAAAAAGATGGTTCTTCAAGGGTTCTTTAGTGAAGAAAATGGTTCTGTATAGAATCATAAACACTCAAATAACCCTTTGCATGATTAAATGGTTCTTTAGATTAATGGAGAATGTGCTGTAGATGTTTTTTGAAAAGGGTTCTATATAGAACCTTTTATTGTTATGATTCAAGCTTGTACTAATACAAGAGCCCTTTTTGGTGCCACATATAACTGTTCAAAAAAGTTCTAAATAGAACCATGTACAACACATTATTCATCAGTCTGAAGGACCCTCATGCCAAGGGTGCTTTGAGTGTTCATGGTTCTATATAGAAACATTTTTTTTTACTAAAGAACCATCTTTTTAAGTGTGTATAAAGTAGGCAAAATTCGTCCTTCAAAGTAGCTGTTACTTAAAAAGATGGTTCTTTGAGGGTTCTTTAGTAAAAAAGGTTCTATATATAACCATAAACACTCAAAGAACACAAAGAACCCTTTGCGTGATTAAAGGGTTCTTTGCATTATGAAAGCATTCTTCAGATTGATAGAGAATGTGTTGTGTATGGTTTTGTATGAAACCTTTTTGAAAAGGGTTCTATATATCACCAGAAAGGGTTCTTCTATTGTTACAGGCTAAATCAGTACACATGGTACATAGTAGTAGAAGAACAGTAATCATAACAGTAGAGTAACAGTAGAAGAACCCTTTTTGGTGCTATATAGACCTCTTTTTTTCAAAAAAGGTTCTCTATAGAGCCTTTTACAGCACGTTCTCCATCAATCTGAAGAACCATTTAACAATACAAAGACCCATTTAATCATGCAAAGCGTTCTTTGAGTGTTCGTTGTTCTATATAGGACCTTTTTCTTTACTAAAGAGCCCCTGAAGAACCGTCATTTTCAGGAGCGTGGATAACAGATACACTCTCATAAATCAGGTAATTTACTGAATGTGTTTCACAGTGAGAAAGGTGGTTTAAGGGAGGGATATGATGATTGTGATTGTTTAGATAAGGCAAGTCCTTGAAATAACGTCTTTATTTCACAAATGTCATGCTGTCCATATTAGCCCTGTGTCATTCAAGACGTGCTGTGGTGATTGGCAGTAATTGAGGTTCCAGGATAAATGCCCAGAGCAGTGGAGCTGTCCTGTGTAGCTCCTCCAGGAGCTCTGCGTAACATCATAATCACCATCAGTGCCTCCACCGAGTTATATCCAAAACCAGATTCTCTTACCCGCACTGCAACCATTACACCCTCCTACAGACATTTACGCTGAAAGATCTAAGGAAATGATGTTTTAGTGGCATCACGTCTGCTTTTTTCTCACTTCACGTGAAACGGTCTCGGGTGTCGGCCGCTTATCTGGTGTGGTCGGTGCGAAGGAAAACAGGCTCTAACTGTTTGTAATTTCTTCAAATCTTCAATGGTTTGCAGTCGAGTTAAGTGTAGCTCAGGTTTCCTGAGTGGCACCCTGAATGCCTGCTGCAGTGCCAAACCAAAAAGTGCTCTGTGCGATCCATACTGGTTTAGGGCTTCTGCTTGCAGTCGTTTGTCTGTCTCCATGGCCATGAGCGCCTCAGGAGCTTTTCCTTCCCCTGGGTGATTTGGAATGTCAGGTTTAATTGAGCCGAAGCTTAGAATCTCAGACACTGTCAGCAATTTTGTGCACTTTTTAGGGCCATGTCTTCTGCTTTGGTGCTGCTAAAGGGGGATTTCCACTGATTTTTCAAAATTTCTGAATAATCAAATGATTTAGATATAAACAAAGTTGTCCAGAGTGGTTTGATGTTAAAAATGCAGCATTCTAGAGACATTTACCAAGTCAGCATTGTTCACAGCAGGAGTGAAAGGACCCAGACATCTGAAGTGTTTAATGATGCCATATGCTACCTTTCAGAAAGTTCTTACAGGAAATGGTAACAGATACATGAGACATTGTTATGCAGTAGTTTTGCGGCAAGCATTTGGCTTTATTATGCCCATGTGGGGTATTGTAAGGCACAATAACTCCCCATAGGAAACCTGCTTTTTCTGGATTCACCAGTATTTTGCCTTTATTAACATGACATATAAAAATCAGAAGATACATGTAGGTTCACTGGGGTTTTGGATAGTAAATAAAATGTCTGTATTTGCATTGTAGACATTGTGACCCCTGGTTCCTATCACCACCACTGTAAAGAAAGAGTCAGTAAGTTTCTCTACAGTGAACCATTTCACATTAAACCACACTGAATAACTTTGTTTACATCTCAACCACTGAATTATGCAGAAATTTTGAACAATTGGTGGAATCCCCCTTTAAAAGATACTGTAATTTTTAGAATTAGAACAAAAATAATTGTAGTATATTAAATGCACATTATTGAATACATGTACCGTAACATGACATGGTCGAAGATCGGCTTGTGTTATTTTGGCCAAAATAATTTACGTAAGTTCCATAAGTTTGGGCACCCCGGACACTTCATCTACAGAGAACACACTTCTGCACATTTAAATACACAATTTAACATATTAAAAACATAAATAAATAAAAAATAAAACATAAAGTGTGGCCAGTGCAAAACTAATGGCACTTTTTATATATTTATATTTTTTTATTTATTTATTTATTCCTTTTTTTTACAATATGTTAAAATCAGCAAATAAATATGTTCACTAAAATTTGAAGAAAATACCATGTTTAAGTTTGTTCCCTGTATAAGAAGTGTTAACTAATTCTAATTTTTACTTAGAAAATCAACAAAATGTATTTTGATCTTGGGGGGAGACTTTTACATACAACTGTATCTTGATTCTGCATCATTGGTCAGAGGAAAAACATTGTTAATATCTGTATTGTAATAATAGTTGTGATAATAATGAACAAATTATATACTGTGCAGCCCTTGTGTTAACCACATTGTATGTATGTGTTGAGTGTATATTGTGCAGCCCTGGTATTGTATGTATGTATGTGTTGAGTTTATGTTGTGCAGTCTTAGTGTTAACCATGTTGTATGTATGTATGTATGTTCAGTGTGCTGGCAGGTTACAATGGCACCATCTTTGCCTATGGGCAGACTGGCAGCGGCAAGACCTTCACCATCACTGGCGGTGCCGAGCGCTACAGTGACCGGGGCATCATCCCCAGAACTCTGTCTTACTTATACCAGCATTTCAGTCAGGTTAGAGGCCACCTGCGATTTTCTCTTCAGTGTTTTTCAGTCTTATCGTTTTTGTTTTTTGTCAGTGTACATGCAGTCAGAGTTACTGAGCTGGAATACCACTCTATAGTTAGTGCTTGTGATCCCTTGTTCAACTGATTTTTTCCTTATTTACAGGATAGTAGCACGGTGCATACCACCCACATATCTTACCTGGAGATCTACAATGAGGTGGGATACGACCTTTTGGATCCCCGGCATGAAGCATCCAAGCTGGAGGACTTACCGTCAGTATCTCATTCTGTGTTTCAGTGTACAACAGTACTGCACAAAGTCGTTGTACCCTCTCAAATACTTCTATTCAAATTTCATTCAAATATCCCTGGCTTGGCTGGCTGCTGACCGTTGTGGCAGTTGAGGTCCTATAATACAAAGAATGTTCCTCTCAATGATACCAACTTTTTATATGAATTGAATGAAGATATTCATTTAGAGATTTGGTTTTTTTTGCATATACAGTTGTAAGCAAAAGTTAGGGTCAAATTACATTTTGTTAAAGCAAAAGTAGTGTGTTAAACTTAAAAAAATAAATAGAAATAAAATTTTAAGAAAAAATAAAATCAAGTCTGTTCTCTGTAGAGGATGTTTTCACATATTTTCACTTAGAAAGTTAACAAAAGCGTATAATTTGAAACCCGTGGGTTTCAAATTAGTGTCCCAGGTAAAAAGTACTTTGTCGACACAAGTAGGCAATATTTGAGTTAAGCCACGTCCCAAAGCAGGGTTGTAAAATAACAAGCTTCGGTGACAGGAGTGGATGATATCTGTCTCAACCACAGGTCAGGAATTTTCATTTACTTGTGCCTGTGGGCTGCAGTTTAATCTGAGCTGCTTCAGAATACGTCCGTCTGCCGTTCCTTTCCCTTTTATTCCTATCTCTGGGAGTCATGCTATCTCTGTGTATCCCACGGTATTTTCTCATTCTACTTCTCAGTTCTCTTATGGGGCTTCATTTAGATTTTCTCTTTGAAGTGTTGCTTAATGAACATGGAGCTTTTTGTGTTAAGAGGTTTGATCTGTGTGTGTTGCTGTTGGTCCTCTCGTCTGTTTTCTCTTGCTCTAATTCTCTCCTGTTGTCTTGCTGTCTCCTTTCTGTGGGTATCTAACTCAAGGCCTCAAGTCCCACTAATTACACACTGCTGAAAATAGACAATGCCCACTCCTGACCACACAGGCTAAACTTTCAAGGAGCTATGGTACTTGAAATCCTCTGTTACTGTTACAAGCAGGCTGTTTTCTCCTTCTCTCTCTCTCCGGCTCTCTCTCTCTCTCTCTCTCCCTCTCTCTCCCTCTCTCTCTCTCTCTCTCTCCATTTTCTCTCTCTCTCTCTCTCTCTCTCTTTATTCATACTGCTCTTGTTGTGCCATCCAAAACACTGGGTGTCAACAGTTAGATTACAGTTCAGCTGGGCCCAGCCTGTCAGAATTCCCTTCCACAAATTGAGCAACGGTCAGACTTTTTAACACCAACTGACAAAAGCAGATTTTGAAATGTTTATCTCATAGCTATATCTGTAGGCATTTCCATTCCAATTTTCCGTAGACCCAAGATTAATTGACAAACCAACCTCATACTCTTATTTTGATCGGTATGCGGCCAGCCTGCCTTCCCTTCAGGAAGCTGCTGGATTGCATTGAAGCCATAAGTTCAAAGCTAGCTTCCAGCATCTGCGCAAGCCATCGCTGAGCCCCAAAGGCACTGAACGTGGGCAGTAATTCATTTGTTTGTTTTGAAAAAGCTTGCCGGTTCATTATCACATTATAAGCCCCTCCACTTGATGGATAAAGCATGTGTGTAGCATGTTGCTAGTCCTACAGTGTTGGGATGCACAGCTGTGGTTTGCTTGAACTGTTTATATAAGTGGGCTTAGTTCAGTGTGTTTTCCTCCAGTCCCCTGCAAGCACTTACACTGCATTCATTTGCCTGGTGTTGGCTGTTGTACTGGAATGACTCTCTCGATTATCTTGTGCTTTGTGTTAATTGTTTCCATTTTGATGTTTTCCATTAATAAGGAAAGTGACCATAATGGAAGATCCTGACCAGAACATTCACCTCAAGAACCTGTCATTGCAACCGTCAGCCAATGAGGAAGAGGCGTTGAATTTGCTTTTCCTGGGTGACACCAATCGCATGATTGCAGAGGTGAGTACCTTACTGGTCAGCTTCATTCCCACGAGCCTTAGAAATTCCATGAATGTTTAACATGTGAAATACTTCGCTTCTTTTTGTGTTTTAGTGGGATTATTTCATGCCTTTTCTTCCCGTATCCTACATTTTTCTTGTATTTAATATTTTTCCTTGAGGTCCACTGATGACGTTTGTGTGGTTTTATGTGCCCATGATTCATTTTTACATTACTGTTTTCCAAACCTCTCTTTATTCCTTGGAATTAAACTGTTCATGTAAGACTTGTATATGTAAATAAGCTCTGTACTGATTGGCTGCCCTCTGTTGTGCCTCATTCAAAAGTCACTCCAGGCTGAAACATTCCTTTCAATTTTAGTGTGAATGAGCAGAGCTAAGCTGATGTACACTGAGTAAGCTGCTATATGCAAATGTGCATATGTTCAAATGTTTTTGTGACATCACAGAACAACAAGCTGTTTTAAATGTTTAGTCTGTATATAATACTTATTGTGAAATCAATGAAATGTTTAAATATGATTTAACTCTATGGATCTGTCAAATAATAATACATTACATAAACAGAGAGACACTCTGTGATGTAAGTGGTGCTTTAAGGTTGTTTTGAGCTTTAAAGACTAGTAACAGAACCTTGAAATCTATCCTGAATGATACAGGCAGCCAGTGCAGCTCTTTCAAAACGGGAGTGATGTGATCTCTCTGTGTTGTTTTTGTTAGGATGCTGCTGCATTTTGTACGAGTTGTAAGGGATGTGTAGTTTTCTTAGGAAGTCCAGCAAGAAGAGCATTACAGTAGTCAAGTCTGCTAACAAACGCATGAACAAGTTTCTCTGCGTCGCTCTGAGATAGAAAAGGCCGAACTTTAGCGATATTTCTCAAATGATAAAAAGCTCCTTTAGTGACCGTGTTTACATGTGGGGTAAAACAGAGCTCAGAGTCTAAGATCACACCCAGGTTTCGTACTTCAGGTTTGGTAGATGAAGCTAAAGAACCAAGTTTCTCAAAAATCATTTTTCTCTGAGTTTCTGTACCAACAATCAGTAATTCAGTTTTTTCCTGATTTAATTGTAGAAAATTTTGCAATATCCACTGAGAAATATCTGACACACAGCTGGTTAGTCTGTCTACAGAGTCTTGATCTTCAGAAGGAATAGTAATGTATAACTGGGTGTCGTCAGCATAGCTATGAAAATTTATACTATGTTTCCTAATAACATCACCTAGAGGTAGCATGTACAAAGAGAAAAGCAAAGGCCCTAAGACTGAACCGTGGGGGACTCCACAGGAAACAGCAGATCGTTTTGATGAATGATTTCCGAGTGAAACCATGAACTGCCTATGACTTAAATATGATTTAAACCATTCTAAAACAGTGCCTGAGAAGACGCTGGAGTAAAATCTTGTGGTCAACGGTATCAAAGGCTGCACTAAGATCTAATAAAACCAAAATAGAAGGATTTTGTGCATCAGCGCTGAGCCTTGAGTGAGCACCAAGGAAATACTGGCTTAGTATTATAGAGTGCTAGATTTAGGCATTCGTCCTGTTAGCACTGTTGCTGTAGCTTGAGCAATGCACTTATCTTGAGCAAGGCACTGAATTCCAGTCTCCCTTTCCACACTAGCATGGTGGCCCTGTGAACCCATGACGGGTTCTACCATGGATAAGTAAAGATGACCCCTTTTCACAGCAGCCATGAACTGTAATTTCCGGCTGTTTTCCAAGGTCCCTCTGCTGAATTATGCCTTATTTTCTTTCAGTAACATTGTTTGACTGTATTTCAAAGAAATGTGTAAGCACATTAGCTCATTAGCTAATTGAGTTTTTAATTGTCCATCTGTGAAGTTCTGAGAGGAAGCTCATTTAGGGTATATTGGGTAGGATGTTCAGATATGAGTTAAATTCCTTTCTCCACACAAGGTTTTGGTTATAGATGAACAGATTACAGTAATGCAGTTAATATGGTAGCACTTTATTTGAACCCCGCTACATATCGTTGACATAACCATGCTGTAAACATATCATAGCAGATGTCATATGCTGTCATGAGTTGTCCTGACAGATTATGCTTGGTAATATATAAGTCTCATATATGATTTGGAAAATCTGAAGTGAACTAGCTTTTCATCTTTGTAAGTGAGTAAACAAGTCATATTAAAGTGTTTTATGGTGTTTAAATGCTATTTTTTATTGTGGCTGTTGTATGCTATGAGTTGCATGAGCTGCAGTTGTGCTGTCTGTTGTATCTGGGCCACGTTTGTGGAGAGGTGTGATGTTTTTTTGCAGCAGAGGGTTCTCACCCCTCCCCTCGCCTACATTGCTCGCTAGCAGCTCAACACAGCACATTTCACACACAGAGACAACAGTGTCTTAGTTAATCTGATAACACAGATCTGGGGACAGTATTTTATTTGATTATATTTTTTACAAATATCCAAGTTGATTTCCATTCCTCCACCAGGGGGCCACAGAAAGGAGCTACAGGACAGATATATTTTGAAGAAATTGCTTTTAAGTCTGTTACAGTTGCCACATCATTTTAAAGAATTAACAGAATTGTTTGGTTGGGGTGTTGACAAAATAGTGTGACTTACTAGAGAACTTACTAGAATGAGAATATTTCAACTTGAAGTCAATAATGGATCAGTGTGTTTAGTGACTTAGCATGTATTCATCTAATCAGTGTATTTTAGTCAGTATGTTTCATGAACGTTTCATTATAAATGAATACATTAAAGATTTCAGGGAGCTTCTTTCAGCATTCTGCATTTGATTCCAAATTGACTCAACAGCTGCGCTCTCATCTGGATATAACCTTAGTGTTGGAAAACCCTTTAAGAAAACACATAGCGACTCCACAGTGCAATGATTTCAACCTGTGGGACTGTTTCTATCAAACTGCTGAAGTAACAACCAAAGAGGAAGTGTTACGCAATTTGGCAGGTTTGGAGACATTTATTATTTTAATCTGACTTTTTGCTCACTGTGATACATTGAGAATAGTCGTATGCTTTGTTGCCAAATTCCTTCAGGCCTCATTGTTTCCAGAATCACCACGCTGAGGACCAGCGATGCTTTTTAAGTCGTCCCTCTGCTATCTGACCTGTTCTCTCTGAAAGGGAGCGATGAGCTCATGGGTCTAAAGGCCCAGCCACCCACACTTCCCAGGTCAGTAAACAACCCCCTGTTCACTGGAAGAAGTGAAAGCTCTGAATGGGGTCTCTTTTCTTCATTTCCCACCTGGCTGCTTACGTGAAGCGCCCCATGAAGCAACCTCTGACCTCCTGCGATGCTCCACAGCTGCGGTTCCTGTGTCCTGCAGCCACAGCAGCCGGATTGTTGAGCCAGGGTCCGCTGACCACTGCTCCTCTTTTGGGGTCTTGCTGAGTCAGACATTGCTTGAAGTGTGTGGCTAGGGTGGCTGGCAAGGGTCAGCTTTTTTTAAGTGTACACAAGAACTGTGGTTAGAAAGCTCAGTGTCTGAACCTCATGAGATTAACCAGAGAAAGGGAGCATGTCAGATCAAATTAATGTGTTTTGTTTTCTTTATGGTTTGGTCAGTTTTTACTCAGCTGTTTGTGGTGTAAAAAGCCACAAACGAGTATATATTCTGAGCTATTAGCTAAGAGTCTGTCTATGGAGTTCTGAAAGCAAGCTCACCTAGGGTAAAGGGTATTACATCAGATATGGGCTAAATCCCATTTCCCAATTGCACTATGGAAAAACATGAGGTTTTAGTGATAAGGTTAAAGTGATACACAGTTAATAGGGTAACACTTCACTTAAACCCTACACATTGACATAGCCGTGCCATAAACATGTCATGGCAGATGTCATATGCTGTCATGTCTTTTTTGTGTGTCATGTTGCCATTACTGTTAAGTTATGATAGCTTATGTCGCATAATCATTTTTATTTTCTGCTCTGGTTAGCCATCAGACCATGAAAGTTGCACATTATTGAGCATAATCTGTCATAACTACTCATGACTGCATATGATATCTGCTACGGCACACACATAATGTCCGATATCATGATGGCTAACTAGTACACAGCAAAAATGAGCATGTGACATAAGCTCTTAAGATGTCAAATATTATGTCATCTGTCATGACCTGTAAAGGTAACATGACATTGTTATATTACTGAACAGAATTTGTCTTGACAATTTATGGCTACATAGGACATCTGTTATAACATGTTTGTGTAGCAAGTTTCAAGTAAAGTGTTACCGTATACTTTTCATGTATAAAAAGTTCAGTCGCGTTTCAGTTGCGGCTTTTGGTGACGCGTTATTTTGATATTCAATTGTAGGTGATTTGTAGATGATCACCTTGTCTTTAACTAACATTCCACCAGATAAATATTAAAATACAAATAAAAATACACTTTTAATGACGATCAAACTGCTCAACATCTGATCCATGAAACTTTCCTACAACGTGGAAACAAGTGGAAATTTTAGTGTAAATGGTGAATCAACTTCAGTGTGTGAAATCAAGCCTAACAATACCTAATTTATGTAGCATTTACATGAACCACACCCTAATTCATGCAGATGTTTCAGTAGGGAACAAATAAAATGACAGCATTCAGCAGCTCATGAGCCGATGGCTGTGCTTATTGAGGTCGAGCAATGAGTGCACTGCTCCCCAACTGACCAAACTCTACTGTGTTAAAACTATGACCACTGGAAAGATTAGAATGTGAAATAAACAAAATATGTATTATTGCCATGTGTGAGGTGCTTCTGCATTAGTTGTGTTTTGTATTTTTTTATATTTTGGGCGGTGTCAGTAGTCAAGTCGAGCCACTGCACAAAGTACTATAACACAAGGATTTATAAAGAACACATGAGGCAGTGTGTCATCTTGAATAACATCACAGCCATGATATTATTTGTGAGAACACTTCTCCTCAAGTGTTCCAAACATTGTATCAAACATGCTTTAATACTGGCAATTCCTTCAGGCAAAGAGGTAGTAGCTTGTTGAGTTGCAGACAGAGCCATAAAACTGTTGCAATATCAGGTTTACCTCAAATTTTTCAAAACTTACTAGATTAACCTGAAAGCTATTTCTTCCCTTCCAGTCTGTAAAACATTTCACAGGCCATCTTGTTTGCCGAATTGTGTTCTGTTTGTTTAGTTGTTCCGCCATCACAACTGCCAACCGAAAAGTAGGCCTGCTGTCACACTCTTCTTCAGAATCTGAACAGGCTGCAGGTCAAATATTATCTTACAGTAGTTGTCTAATCCATCTGTTTTCATCTTTTGTCACTTAGCAACGAGTGCAACAGTCGTTGTGAAAAAAATCTTGCTGTCACAACAGACAGAACAGGTAGAAAGCTTCTCAACCAATCAGATAGTGCTGTCGGAACTGTTGAATAAGTAAAACAATGTGTGTATGGAAATATAAAGAAACAATAACCTTATATATTTTAGGCAACTAGATAAAAGAAAAAAATTGAGAAATAGTAAAAATCAACACTTTGGTGAAGGTCAGTTTGTATACACAGCGCATGCAATTGTAAAAATTCTTTAAAAGTGAGATATTAATAAACTCTCAGCACTTCCATGTATGGCACATGCAGATGAGTTATGTTGGTTTTATTCATGGTTTTATTTCTCTAATGTTGAGGATGGTATTTTGGCTGCAGAGCTCTGCACTGTAATAGTCAACATGGCCTTGAATCAGTGAAGATTGTGCTGTCTGATCGTGTCAGTAAGCATGTGCTCAGTCAGCATTGCCTATGCATCATCAAACTCTAAATACAGTGCGCCTTTATCTGCTCGGGCTTTGGGGCTTTCTGTCGCTTCGATGTCATTCGAGGTTACACGCAGTCTCTCATTGAAAAATGTGTCCCAGTGAGTCAGACCAGACCCGTGCTTTGACCTGATCTGACCTGCTTATTTTTGACACTGGTAAAAGAACCTCATTCAAATGACTGCATTGTTTACCAGGCATCAGTCACACATGTCTGCCATTGATGCAAATGTTGCGCACATGCAAGGAAGCTCATACAAACAAAGAAAGGTCCCTGTTACAGCGTATTTGCTCATGCTGTGTTTACTCTGTGTTCCGCTGCTCCTTGCAGACGTTGTTCACAGACAACAGGATCTTCGTTCCCACCCCAATACAAAAGCAAGATATTAGCCGACTGGATTACAGGAAGAATGTACTAGTGGCTTAACTGGACTGCGCTCATGCATACAGTACAATCATACCAATCATACCATCACCATCAAAAGTCTGGGGACTTTTTCAGTGGAATGAAAATAAGCATGTTTTTGTCGGTTTGCAATAACTAGATCAGGTTTACTTTGAGAGAAACAATGTTACAATGAATATTTGTATGTTTGTATCAGTGCTGTTTGTGGATGTTACAGTACAACACATTATACTTTATTGCACTGTATTGTTCCAAATTGTTGCTAAGATGTTAGCTTGGGGCTGACGTGTTAGCATGGGGGTAGAGCATTAAATCCGAACACTATGAAGCACAGCGCTTGTTTCAAATATCATACTTTTATAATGAAAACTGTGCTAATAAACTGAAAATTGAATCATTGTCATATAAAAAAAAAAGGGACATTTTTAGCCTCTCCTTATTTTGGCCATATCGAAAAATTCAATGAATCAAGACATCAGTGTATCGTATCAGATCGATTTTTAAATTGTTTGAATCAATGCGCCCCCTTGTGCTATCTTAATAACCTCTGTCCTCTGCATTTGCCATACATGGACGTGCTGCCCATTTTATCCTGTTGTTGTGATGTCAGCACTCAAATCAGCACTTAATGAAGGTACTTTAATGAACGTGAAGCTGAGTGTTAAAAAATACTGGCTTTCTGATTCAAATATTAGTAAATAGAATTTTTTTTCTAGGTGTTCTTATTTCCTGAAAGGTAAGAAGGTAAAGTGACATGAAATATACGTCACCTTCTTCTACTAATTATTGCTATGCTGTCTCCCTATCTTTTTTCCAGACCCCCATGAATCAGGCCTCCACGCGCTCTCACTGTATCTTCACCGTTCACCTGTGTAGCCGTGAGCCGGGCTCAGCGACTCTGCGTCGCTCCAAACTCCACCTGGTGGACCTGGCTGGCTCTGAGAGAGTGGGAAAGACAGGTGTAGGGGGCCAGATCCTGACTGAGGCCAAGTACATCAATTTGTCACTGCATTACCTGGAGCAGGTCAGGAAGCTCTGTTCCTAATGTCCTTTTTAGCATTGAACTGATGGAATGTCTGGGCTGATAACAATATCCGATAGTTAATGCCTTATTATGGCTGGTACTGCTGTCAATATCTTTATGCACCCACTCCAATTATCGTTCATTTAAAGGGCCCGTATCATGGAAAACCGAATTTTCGTTTTTTTAAACAAAAGCGTTTTATGCAGTATGTGAACACTTGTCCATTCAGTCCTGTATGGATGCAAAACAGCCCATTTTGAATTCATATTTTACTGTGCATTTAAGACTGATATATGTAAATGACCTCTGTTTGGCTGTGCCTTGAATATGCCGCATTCAAAACGCAGTCAAGGTAAAAACACATAGAACTTAAGCATGAATGGGTGGAGCTAAACTGGTGTAGGCTGAATAGCCAGATATATGTAAATGCATTCGTCACAAAACCAGTGATTTGAATATGGACTGTTTTTGCAGTTTAGTTTCTTATGTGTGGACGGGAGAGAATGGTACATTTTGAATCTTTAACAGTGTTTACATACTACATCTGACACTTTTATTTTAAAACAGTGAGATTTTTTTTTCCATATGGGCCGTTTAAAGTGTTGATGTCATTGTTCTCAAACTTCTTTAACCTCACAAGCCTTCTGTGTTATTTCAGGTCATCACAGCTCTGTCAGAGAAGAACCGCTCTCATATCCCGTACCGCAACTCTATGATGACTTCTGTGCTCAGGGACAGCCTGGGGGGCAACTGCATGACCACCATGATCGCCACTGTGTCAGTGGACAAGAGGAACATTGATGTAAGGCTTTGTCTTATTTAACACTTAACTACTGTCTTAAGTGCTTTTCTGGTCGTGATTCAGTTTCCATTTCACGTAAACTGCAAGGAATCACATTTCAGTTCCTCATTCTCATAACTACTTTTTAGTTCCTGAAAAATAATAAGTCTTTATAACAATAATATTGAGTCATAAAGTTAATTGCATGCAATAAACTTGCAATATAAGGATTGACTATAAATAAATGTAGTGACTGCAAGTTCAACTCTATTTCTAAAAGAATGTTGATGGAAGAAAGCATGTTTTCTAATCTCATGTGACGATCTCTACTTTCATCTTAGGAGTCTATCTCCACCTGCCGCTTTGCCCAGAGAGTGGCTGTGATTAAGAACGAGGCTCTACTTAACGAGGAGCTGGACCCAGCACTGGTGAGTCAGCACAGCTAAACCTTTCCTCTTGTATAATGTGATGACCTGTCACTGTGTTCATTCTTCCATCGTTTAACAGGTTCTAATACCTCTTGTCACACTTATTGGTAACACTTCACTGCTTATCCTCCTACATAACATTGACAGAACCATACCATAAACATGTCATAGCAGATGTTATATGCTGTCATAAGTTGTCATGTGTTTTGTTCAGTAATACAACGGTGTCATGTTCCCATTACCAGTAATTGTCATGACAGATGACATAATGTCGTGAGAGCTTATGTCACGTGCTAAATTTACTGTGTGCTCTAGTTAGTCGTCATGATATCAAAGCAGCACACTACCGAACATCATCTGTCATAACAACTCATGACAGCACATGATATCTGCTATGACATATTTATGACATAGGTATGTCAGTGTTATGTAGCAGAGTTCAAGGACCGAGTCAACAATGAACTCTTATATAGATGTTTGACCAAATGTTCCTGCATATCCAGCACTGTATCTAACACAAATATATCTACAAACTGCTGTGATAGTGTAAAACTGTCATTACATGTTTGGTTCATTATGTAAGTGAAAATAAGTAACCACATTCTCTATAGGGAACAAACAATGTTGTTGCTCTTTGAAAAAAAAACTCAGAGTATTTGCAGAATGGTAACTTTACAGGAGAAGGCAAAAACCTCAATTTAGTGAATTTAGACCATTCATATTGGTCCTTTTATGATGTAATTTTGACATGATGTAAAGGACAGCAGCTGTGCTCAAATATAAAAATATTAATACATGCATACATGATCTAAACCACTTATCCTTCTGGGTCGCGGTGGGGTGCTGGAGCCTATCCCAGCTGTCATTGGGCGGAAGGCAGGATACACCCTGGACAGGTCGCCAATCCATTGCAGGGCAGACAGACAGACATACACATTCACACCTAGGGACAATTTTAGCATGTCCAATTAGCTTAACTGCATGTCTTTGGACTGTGGGAGGAAACCCACGCAGACACGGGGAGAACATGCAAACTCCACACAGAACGGACCCTGGTCACCCAGCCAGGAATCGAACCTAGGCCATTCTCGCTGTGAGGCAACAGCGCTACCCACGGCGCCCCCGTGCCGCCACAGTATTAACATATAATATATTTTTACATTTTATTTTTTTCCAATGTGTTCAATTCAGCATATAAACAGTAATTGTGCAATAACATGTGCTGGATGTCTGGATGGGTGCAGTAAAATGTGCTGTTGTGTGTTCTGTGTAGAGGATGTGTTCACTTATTTTCACTTTCACAGAAAACCAACAAAACATAATTTGACCAGGGGTCCCCAAACTTTTGCATACAACTGTATTTTGATATGTTATCTGTACTTGGATCTATACATGGATGATTTACCCTGGGAAAAAAGGTCAGTGGTCACTAGTGACCTGATGTTTGCATTTAAGGGTTAGCGTTAGGTAAAAATGTTAAATGTAGATAAAGACAAATTGACACTTAATATGGGTGGATGGCTTTGAATGTCCAGAATGTCCAGAAGCATCAGACTCCTCTCTCACACCTGTGCTTACATCGTCCACATTCCACCATGTCATCAGTGGGACTGGCTGCATGTCTTTGCGCACAAACATGGAAAAAAGCCGGTGAATGTCTTTTCTGATTTCTCGCATCATGTTTGCATTCCACTCTGAAAGTTTACATGCTCCGATTTTATGGCTCATCACTCAGTGGTGAACATTTCTTTCCCATACTGAATGTGCCTCAGACACACCTACTTATTAGCAGGGAATCACCATTTGGTGAAGCCTGATTGCTATGTACTCATTGACACTGCTTTCGATGGCAAACAGCTGTTAAAGCAATGAATGTAGTGCTCCTCAGACAGATATCTGCAAAGACCAAGAGTGTAGTGATGAGCGTAGCTTCAAAACGACTTGGCTCGAGGGTTTGAGCTGAAGTGCAGGTCCCCAAATTAACACAGTGCTGTTCTGTGAACCCTGGTTCCACTCAGAGTTTCCCAGCCTGCCTGCATCCCATCCATCATCTCCTGATTTTGACTGCTGACGTTAAGTGATGACTCCATTGAGAGTGAAGGTAAACATGGTGGAGTGAGCAAATGCTCCTGATTTGTTTTCATTGGAGCTAAGCTAATGAATCTTCTCCCTGAAACGTTCAGCAGAAAAGTTGAGGAAGGAAAATGCAGTGTCCCAATCACCCTGGGCTGTTTTTCCTCCCAGAACTGATAGTACTTGTTACGCGGTTCTGCTTGGGGAGCTTGCTAAAAGTTTCAGTGCAAAGATATATAGATGCTGTGCACCTTTGCCCCGTTAATCAGCTCCTCTCTGAGCCACCCTCTTTCTCTTGCTCTGTCGGTTTATTTCCCCTTGGTTCAGCATTTAGAACTTGGCTGCCCAGTTTTGAACCCTGGAGAGGTATTTTTAAGAGAGTCTGCGGTTGCCCGTTAATTGAGCTGGTGTCTGCATAGGAGAGGTGGAGGTATGGCTCATATCCTGCAGCTACCGTTTGACTGAAATGCAACCCCCACCTCCCCAGCAAATGAAGCCGAATTTAAAATAGGGATGGGTAGTATGACAGTACAGCTGTATGCAAAAGTTTGAACACCCCAGTCAAATTACATGTTTTGCTGATTTTTGAGGTGAAAATAAGTTAACAAATCCTCTACTGGGAAACCTAAATAAGGCATTTTTCTGTTAATTTTAGTGCACAATTTCCATGTATTTGCCAAATTTAACATATTGGAAAAAATGAAAACAGAAAATATAAACAGTGCCATAACTTCTATGTTTTTTTTTTTCCCCCAAATATGTTAAATTGAGCAAATAAACAGTGATTGTGCATTAAAATGTGCAGAAGTGTGTTCTCTGTAGAGGATGTGTTCACTTATTTGCACTTAGAAAATCAACAAAACAAGTAATTTGACCAAAGGCGCCTGTGACCGTCTGTTTTGGTTATTATGATAAATTATATTACTCTCTGTATTCTGAGTACATCATGGATATTATTAGGACTTATAGAACACTGAATAATTACATGTAACAAAGACAGATGTAGACAAATTATACAGAGACTGTAAACCTGTGTGTAGTAACTGTGTAAGTGCACAGTAACAACTAGCTGACTGGATGTGAGCCCATTATGCCATTTTTCTGCCATGTTTTTCCAGTTGCTGGATGTTTCCGTCTATAACTCCTGAAATATGTTTTTCTGAATTAGAAAGAAATTTAAAACGTACTGTGTTCCTTGTTTTCGTAGCCTTTTTAGTAGTGACACAAATTTTTCAATGGTGCATTTTGTCTGCAAACCTTCAAAAAAGTAAATGTCATGATACATATTGTGTATCGTGAAAATGTCCTTAAGCAATGTCATGTTATATTTTTCCACCCACTCTTAGTGGGTAGTGTACAATCTATGCATTTTTGCAGACCAAGGTGGCTTTTTCCAGTTGTTTTTAATGGAAGAGATGCATTTGGTAGTGTTTTGAACAGAGTGATACGGGCATCCTGAATTGAAAAAAATCTCAAAGCGGTCATGTAACCTACATCATGAGCTTTTTTTCCTGTGCTGACCAATCTGATCAAAAGAAATGCTGTCTTTAGGGGACAGTTGTAATGGAAGAGAGATTATTAAAGTTACTGATTTCATGGATCAAAATCAAAACAAACAAAAAGCAGCTTTTTGTAGTTCAGCTTGTTTTTAATAGCAGCACCACACTTGCTAGTTAATAGTAGTAGTTTAACCTACAGTAGTACAACTTTCTGTTGTACATATTGAAACAATTCCTAACTTGCACAACTGATTCACAGTTACAGTACGACACTGTTGCTTAACAACAGGGAACTGCACGGGCAGAAAGGGGGGTACTTGACAAAGCAGGATTGCTCATTCATCTGTGTAACTTAAAATAGTTTAGTAAAGAATCTGATTAACTCAGCTTTCCCCAAATGTAGTCAATCTGCAAAGACATGTTTGATATACAAAGACTACTTCTTTAGTTTTGAATTCAAGGTATGACGTTAATGTTGCTTACAAGTAATGCAGTGAACTGCATGCCTAAATCAGCACATGCTTGCCTCTAACTGTTGAAATGTTAATGATATCAAGCTTTTGCATTTTCTGCACAATATGGGCAAAAGTATGGACCAATTCAGACTTTAAAATGGCTGCTGCTGCTTTCTTTTAGCTATGCAATATAAGCTTTTGTCCATTTTTAAAGATAACAGTTTATAAAATGTTATACAGTGTTAGATCCGATTAAGCAAGTTGATTTGCAGTTATGTAGCAGCTCATTGTTTGAGACAAGTGTTTGATGGTTTCTACACCAGTTTGCATGGTGCTAATTGGTGGGTATAAGCTTTCAATCGTTATTAGCTACATTAGCTTGGAGAAGCAAACTTCTGACACTAAATATGTCTTAGTTGATCAACAACATTTGGGATAAAGGGAAAATTGTGTAAAGCCTGTAGTAAGCCAGAAGTGAGTATTGTCCAATAAGAGAAAAGGTCAGGGACATTTGTAGTGGTCAGCTGTCACTTTTGGCTTATCTAGTCATGAGAGAAAGCCTGATTTGTGGCAATACCCATTTGGAGTCTTGTTGTGGACACTTGTATTAATTCATTCAGTTATGAGCTCTATATGCTTATTATTATTATTATTATTATTATTATTATTGCATTGAGTGCTCACACATGCAAAAATAATGACTTGCCTCTGGTGCTATTTACCTACTCTCCATCAGTTTCTATTTTTTAACATGAAATCATCCTAAAACCTATAATAGAACTAAAACTGACCGAACACATAAATCGGGAAGACCTTGAGCGTGTTTTAGGGCCGTTTTGAGTTTCTGTAACTGAAGAAAACATGGAATCAGAATCTACCGCAGTCTTTTTGGAAATGTGCAGATATTGATGTCATTGGTCATACGCAGTGCCTCCCTCTGGGCTGCCGGTTTATTCTCAGACACTTGGACACTCAGACACTGGTCCTGTGGTTCCTGCGTGGTTTCACAGTCCAGAATAAAACATGGTGACCGTGGGCCTGGCCTGCTGGACCCAGCTGCTCGTGTTGCATCAGCCTCAGGGCGTGCTGGATGCTGGATGGGTGAGAAGTAGCTTTTGGGTTCAGGCATAGCCAAACACACAGAGATGTGGCTGTAAAAAGACACGGTAATGGTAACACTGCCCTTAATGTCAGCAACACACAGCTGTGGAATTTGGATGCCAAAACCATATTTCCCCAAAAACAACTGGATGATCACGATTGTTCTTGCTGCTGCATAGATAAGTGATGGCATTCAGTATTATGTACACCATAAAATGTAAATATAAATGACCACTACTGAATTTGAGTTCAGTAATGAGTGTAACTGAGTGTAATGATACATTCAGCCCGTGATTTAATTTGCGTCTCGATATTCTCATGATATTTTGAAAAAAAAATTTGAATGAAGAAAATTTGATGACTGTATCCATATTATTACACAACCTACTAATGTTTTAGTTAAATGTAGGGCATCATATGCTTTCAAAGAGGGAGGATGTGATAATTAGTTGTTATCGCCCACCCCTAATTCTTTGGCGATATGAAGCTGAAGTCAGCTATTCTCCAGCTTTTTGTTCGAATTTTCCTGATCCACCTTAAATGGAGAAGCAATTACATTCTGGTGCTTCAGACATCAGTACTGCTGGAATATTTAAGGCGGAACGGGAAATTTTGCTAGCTAGCTACCAAGACATTAGCATACTATCAGCGATTTTTTTATGCTTGTTATGAAGAAAAGGGCCATAATACATTAAAACGATATTAAACGGATGGAGTGTGCCTCTGAAAAACCTTTGTAGCCCTAACGCTTTGCCCTACTCCTCTACCTCAACTAAAATTGGGACACCCTACTCCTAGGCGTGAACGCGTAAAACCGAGGGCTAAGGGCTAAGTGGTAGGGGTGAGGGGTGAAATGGGATTGGGCCAAAGTGTTCTTTGTCTTTCCATCTGGTCTTATTGTTGTCATGGAGAAGCCACTGTGATATTAAGGAGGTCTCTTTTTTGATTTTTCTTTCCTGTGAGTTGCCCTGGTGTCCTCTATGTCACTGGGACCGTTTAGATTGATAGCTAGTGACCTTTAACCTCTATCAGCTATGTGTCAAAAGTTGTCTGGATGCCAGCACATACTTGTTTCTCTCATCGGCATTTCTGTGTCTGTCTGTGACTGACCGTGTGTGTAGACAGAAGGGAGGCGGCGCATTTTGGAAATAACATTCAAGGACACTCCACCAAAAATGTAAAGAAAAGAAACTATGCGAGCAGCTCCCCCCCAGTCCTGATGCCGCTGGAGCTGTTTCACTTTTCCATTTATAGTAATGCCTCCTATCTCTCCCACTGGCCAGAGCTTATCCCAGTTTGACCTCTTAAATACACACAAAGTGTCAAGTTCAGACTGCAGAGCGCAGCATAACTGTGACTGTTAATGATCAAAGTCAGACGGATGTCTGGATGGATGACCTATGACCTTGACTTGGAAATCCCAGCGCCAAGGCTTTCATAGATTTAGCATGATCCTCTTGCAATGCAGCCAAGACATAAGCTGGGGTGGGATCGTACCCAAACTGACCTTTGACCTCGTGCCAGAGGAGCTGTCTGAAAGCTAGTGGTGACACACGCAGAGGGGTAGTGGGTTGTTTCTCCTAGGTCTCAGTGGGTTGTCTGGGAACTGAGCTTATCTCTAATGATTACAGTGTAGGCTGGTTGTTATCAGCATCTTGAATCCCTTTGTTTTTAGGGAGAGGTTATTTTCTGAGAAAACTGTGATTTTTGTGTTAATGTTGTACTGTGGGGTGACCATTTCCAATAGAAAGCCATCATATCCACAACAGTGCCCTACCTTGTGTCTGTAGTGTTGTGCTGTAAGGATTTTTATGAAAAACAGAGAGATTTGTTTTTTCACTTCAGTTTTTACATTGCTTTTACAAATGTATTTGAATTCAGTTGAAATATGAGTTTAAAATATTTATAAATATATTTCTACTTTTCTAATTTTCTCCCCAGTGTAGTCATAGTTGGGTCCACCCACTAAATAGGTCTCCTCCTATCACACAACGCTACCAAGCTGGGAGGGTGAAGGCTGGCGTGTGCCACGTCTGTGATATGTGAAGCACCACTGCATCTTTTCAAACTGCTGCTAACGCAATGTCACTGGACAGTTTAACACGCTTGGAGGAGAATGCTAACTGCCAATTCTGTTACATCTGCTAACAGACGCCCATGTTGGCTAGTATTGCTCTGCGTGCAAAAGGGAGGTTTTATGCTCTCTTGGACTCCCAGCCATGGATGGCTGTGGCATTGCTGGATGAGCATATTTTTTCCAAGACTACTGGAACAGTGTCTTAACTGTTGGGACTATACTAAGCCTGTGAGCTTATACTTATAAACATGACCTAATTCTGCCACACCTTAGGTGTATACTAGGCTTCTCCCTCTTGGTCTTTCTGTTTTGTTTCTGTTGTATTTTTTTACTTTCTTTGATTATATGGTTGAGTATCCAGTAGCCTTGCTGTAGTGCATATCAACTCAGTGGTGACTTAAAATGATTCCCATAATTGTCGTTTTAATTTTTTCTAAAGGCATTTTTACACTCGTCTTTAAAGGGCCTATATTCTACATTTTATTGATTTATTTTTACATGACTCTCTTTATCCTGTTTTATTAGGCTGTATACAGGCTGTTTTATTAGTGTACCTTTAACACTGATATTAATAAGCTCTGTTCTGATTGGCTGTCCTATATTGTGCCTCATTCAAAAGCCACTTAGGGCTGAAACACTCCCTAGAACTTTAATATAAATGGGCAGGCTAAACTGATCTAGGCTAAAAGGGGTGGATATATGTAAATGAGTTGGTTCTGTGACATCACAGAAAAAATGAACTCAAAATGGGCTGTTTTGTCAGCTTAGTTTCCATATATGCACCACTTGGACTGGAGGTTGAAACTTTAAATTTGTTTACACATTACTTTAAACACATTCATTTAAAAAAATGTAAAGGAAATTAGTTTTTTTCATGAAATGAGCTTTTATTTCTTCTTGTTTTAGTCCTAAATGTAAGGTAAAAATAAACTGGCTACTCTTGCATCCTCTTGTGTTTGCAATACCACTATGTATTTTCTATGTTTTTTCTATGTATTTTATGACTAGAGTTGTCATAGTCCCCCCAATCCAGCTACCTTTTGGGGTTGAGTATCGGCCAGTACTGATATGATACCAATACCGGTATGTTTTTTTGCAGAAAATACAGCCAAATAATTTAGGTATGATATGTCGAGTTGCCATTTAATACCACAGACAAATTACTTAATTTTTGGTATGTGCATAATGTGACATTCTGGACTGTTTTTATTTAATGACCAGTGAGTAGAATTGTGGCAGTAGTGTAACTTTGTACATGCTTCTGACGGCATGCTGCTTGCAGTAAAAGGCAGAAGGTACCCTCAATGCATAGATGGTCACTCATTTTATGTGCCAGTGTTTAGGCTAAACGTCACCAAACACAGTGGAAACACTGGTGCTGCAGATATTACAAGTTTTCATATTAAAATACATGAAATATATAAAATAGTTGCACATTTAGATCTCTTTATTACTTTCTGAATATGCGCCCCACTGCTACAGGTTATGGTTATTGTTGACTTATATCACTTCTATGACCACAATATAAAGAAACAAAGGATTGGAACTGGATCAGGCTAATATAGCTGATACCTGATCTATTTAAATGTTAGATCACATCAGATCCCTAGAACTCATGAATCAGTGTGGGTCAGCAATGGAAAATTAAATGCAAAGGGTTTACATCAAAGACCTCACTATAGTTACTGCAAGACTCGCCATAAATTCCTTATCAAAGTCTTGATGGCTTTATGTTGCTTGTCCTACAGATGATTGCTCGCTTGAAGAAGGAGATTCAGCTTTTGAAGGAGGAGCTGGCCATGGTGACCGGAGAACAAAGGAATGATGAGCTAACTCCAGAGGAGATCCAGGGGTACGCATGCAGTCATCTTTTGTACCTCACATAATCAGCCAGATGTGCGTTTCTTCTTAAAGACTTTATCTTAACCCAAACACAGACACGTATAAAGTCTAAAGTCAGTGTGGTGCCAGTGCCGTTTGATACCGCTGCATCCCTGAGCGGGGAAAGCTGGAACATATGGTGTACTGTTTTGTCCCTAGGGCCAAATTGTGTTGATAAAAATAGAGATAGAAATGTGAGAAAATGTAGGAAAAATGTATTATTCTGGTCTTTTATTTTATAAAGAATTTTTCCTCTCTACTTATAAATGACTTGCTGGCCTCAATCAAACCACTAGACGTACAGGCTGTATCCTTTTAGCAGTGGAAAGGCTGATATGCCACTGCTTTGAATTTAGTTAACGCTTACTTTCTGCCAGTTCAAAAGGGTGCTTTCTCAATCACACAGGCACTGTAACCTATTTTTAACATGTGGGGTTAAATCAGAATAGCAACCGTGATATGCCACAGGACAGATTCACGAGCCTATTCAGCAGTTCAGCAGGTTCTTGTGGGCAGCCGCCTGTGTGTGTTGAGCCTGAGAAGATGTGTGTAATGGTCTGAGCAGCAACGTGCTTGGATGCAGTCATCCAGGTCAGCGGGGACTGGAGCTGCGCTGAGCTGGCCTAGCTCACCTTCCTCCTTGTTTATTGCTCAAAGCTAATGGAGGATAAAGATAAAGGAGCTCAGAGAGATCCATGTTGTTGTTTGTGGGCGGTCAACATCAGATCACGATAATAATACTGTATTTATGCGTCTTTAATGTGGCCTCGGTCGGCCACTTCCAGCGTGTACTGGGATTGTGATAAATAGGGAGTGGACAGGTTGAGGATTACTGTGAGTAGAGAGGAAATCAGGCCGTGCTTAGGTTATTATACGCTGCTCGTCAAAGGCTTGCGGACACTTTGCCTTCTTTAAAGAGCAGATTTTGTCTAATTAATCGTTTGATAGTACAAATTATTATTAATAACACATATTGAACCTCTTTTGGCCCAAAGGTGGTCTAAACACCTGAAATTTGAGTGCTGATGAGTGTAAATATACACAAGGAGATAAAATATGTGAGTCCCACAATTGTCCAGAGGTGTTTCGTCCATTAAGGGTACTGGAGTGCCGGCCTACCGGTTAACATGAGCCAAAATATTTCTATTTAGAAGGTTTCTGCTAAATATTTCAAGTTTTGTTTGATATATGCATGCGAAATAGGGTTGAATGGCAGTTTGTAAATTATTGTACAAGAGCAACATAAGGGTGCTGTGGCCGTAGTCTCTGTCTCTGCCACTGTGGACCTGAGGACCTGTGACCTGAGGATTCCAAGCTCTCCGTCAGATTTCAGTGCCTTGCCCTTAACCTATCAGCAGTGCAGAAAAATGATTCAGGTCACTGGAGAAAACGTCAGTGACCAATCTAGTGGCTAACGCTAGGCAAAGTGAAGTGCTTTAAAACGATTGGCCAGATATTCTCCTATTTAAGGCTTCAGGCGCCAGATGGCTAATGTAAAATTGCCTGCAAAAACAGTTGAGGCACTAATTTTAAATCCGTTTGAGGGACCTTGTTGAAAAATGAATGGTTAAACAGCATAATTCATGTCTAAATAGGACAAAGACTAATCTTAATCTCCCATAATGTGTTCATAATTTTCCTGTTACCTAATTTGGTTTATTCCTGCTGCATGTACTGTGATTATTCTGTTTTTATGACCTTTCAGCTCTGTGGCTAATATATCGCTGCTGTCGGAAAAAAACCTTGCATCTCCATTTTTGTCGTTTTTCAGTTTTTGACATAATTTGAAAATTCCTGTAGCCCTTTACATTGTGTGTAAATTTCATGATGGACCAAAAAAAATCTGGTTCCATTGACTCACATTAAAAGTAAAGTATGTTTTTTCCTTCTCCTGTAAAGTTACCATTTTGGAGATACGAGGTTTTGTTCTGACAACAGCGATATATTGGTATGCAATTCTGCAAGATTTCATTCACTTATTTAGGAAAATTCATATGTTTAGTGTTATTTGTTGAATGCTGGTCTGTTTATGTTTTGAGCAGGCTGGTTGTCATAAGGTTTAGTTGGTCTTGTGCCTTTTATCTTGGTTGATGTACCTTATGTAATATGTGATATATGTCTGCTGCTTTGTCTGTCAATTTAAATGCAAAACATTTATGAAACAATGTGTATTTGGCATTTCAGTTTTATATGCAAGGCACCTAATGCTCTTGGCTTGTAACTTACACTCACTTAAGTTCAGCAGGCTGAATGTTTGCCACAAGGGGGAGCTATTAGTGCTCAAGTAGCTTATGTGAGCATCATTAGAAAAGAGGGACTTGCATAAATAACAGTTATGTAAGCATTTACACTGTGACATGAGAAACAGTTTTTTCATTAGTTTCATTTTACGACCACAGGAATAAAAAACAGCAGAGGTGTTATGGAAGAGTGGAACAGTGACACAGTGTGGATAGGGTAAGGCAGAAGAGTCCAGTATGACGTTGCCATCCCAGCTGCCAAAACTATACTACGTCACTGGAAAGATATAAACAAATAGAAACTTTCTGTTTAATGTGCTAAATTATTGAAATTGGAAAAAGAAAAATGCTAAATTATTTAGAAATGTGTTAAAATGCTGTGTGTCCCCAAACCTTTGACGGGCAGTATAATGAAATAAAGTCATTTTAACATTTTTAGTTAGATAAAGTGTTAAAAACAGTGGACGCTGCATGCTTACGTTGGCTAGGGACCTGTCCTCCAAAGTCTTGATTCCCCATTACATTCTTCCCACTCCTTGGACTGGTAGAAGCGCTGGCACTGGTCAGGGAACATGTGGGCCTCAGAAATGCTTGCTTCACCTCTTTTCTTGCTCTCTGATGTCTTTACCTGTGGCTGTATCTCTGTTTTATTGTTTCCTCCCTCTCTCTCTGCTGATGATGGCTCCCATCTTCCCCATCCCAGCACTCTCCTCCAAAACTCTCTTGCTGGCCCTGCCTCGCGTCCAGCCCCCCCCTGCCCCGTGCCAGCAACGGACACATTTGATGATGTTTGTGATAGATGTTCTCTTGTTTATGAGGTGAATCTGACCGCCTGCCAAACAAACAGGAGTGCTGGAGGAAGGTGGTCTGGCCTCAGCATTTTCATACCTGTCATAGCCCCCCTCTGCATCGCGTCCGAGTATTTAGAATATCCGGTAAACACAATTAGAGACAGCGAGAGAGTTATGACACTGAAGTTCCCCGAAACACGCCGTGTGAAGATGAATTGGATTCGGATTCCAGCTGAATGAACTTGATGACTTCCAGGGATTCTGAAATCCAAGCACAGCCTTTGTTTAAAGTCTTCGTTTGTGTAAACTTTGTTCACATTGACACGAAGGATACTAGTGGAAAACTGGAGTGCACTTCACTCGCTCGTGTGTGCTTGGAACTGTCTCTGGCCTCTCACCCATCTTCGATTCCTCTGGTCCTGTCCAGGCCACAGACTGCTAATGTTTGGAGGGTCTTCTTGTGATAGTTTATCAACAGGTCAGCTCGGTGGAACCCTCAAACATGCTAAAGTAAATAGTTTTGCTTTTACTCAACTCAGAATTTAAACATTTTATAGCATCGGATTCAAACACGACTCTTGGCTGATTAAGTGCACGCCTTTAAGGATGGTTTGATAGTCTTTTGTTCTGCGCGTCTAAATCTGCTTTGGAGCTCATTCCGTGACAGAGGTTTGGGCTGTTGAATGTATGTAGAATGTAGGGAAGCAACAGGTCTCCAAAGCAGTACTCGTGTATGTTTCCTGAAAGTACACTCTTAAAAAAGATGGTTCTTTATGGGTTCTTTAGTAAAGAAAATGGTTCTGTGTAAAACCATGAACACGTGCGATCAAATAGTTCTTTGCATGGTGAAATCATTTTCCAGATGGAGAATGTGTTGTATCTGGTTCTATATAGGTCCATTTTGAAAAAGGGTTCTATAGAGCACTAAAAATGGTTCTTCTATTGTTACAAGCTCAACATGGTGACAATATCAGAAGCCTTTTTGGTGTAGTATAGAATCCTTTTCAAAAAGGTTCTTTATAGAACCATCTACAGCACATTCATAGTAATATTTACAACCCTTTTCTTTACAAAACGAACCCTTGAAGAACCAATGACTGGCACTCCCCTTTTACCCTTGTTCTTCAATGGTCAGGACCTCTGCAGGACCACCAGAGAGCAGTTATTATTTGGGTGGTAGGTCATTCTCAGCACTGCAGTAACACTGACATGGTGGTGGTATGTTAGTGTGTGCTGTGCTGGTACGAATGGATCAGACACAGCAGTGCTGCTCAATATCACTGCTGGACTGAGAATAGTCCACCAAAAATATCCAGCCATCAGTGTCCTGTGGGCAGCGTCCTGTGACCACTAATAAAGACTAAAGACACAACCCGTGCAGCAACATATGAGCTGCTGTCTCTGACTTTACATCTACAAGGTGGACCAACAAGGTAGGAATGTCTAATAGAGTGGACAGTGAGTGGACACAGTGTTTAAAAACTCCAGCAGCACTGCTGTGTCTGATCCACTCGTACACCTGCGCAACACACACTAACACACCACCACCACGTCAATGTCACTGCATAATATCTACTCTGTGGTGGTCCTGTGGGGGTTCTGACCATTGAAGAACAGGGTAAAAGGGGGCTATGCAGGGAAATAGATGAACTATAGTCTGTAATTGTAGAACTGCAAAATGCACCTCTATGTTAAAGACCTGATCAAATAGACAAAGAGTGGAGATACAAAGAAAGGTGCTAATAAAGTTGTCGATCAGTGTATGTGTTTCTGTGTGTACATGTCATAGGCTGGAGGAGCAGGTGAAGGTGTTCCTTGATGACCCTGACCCTGATAGAACACTGGACCTAGGGCCAGACATGAGAAAAATCCATCTCTGCTTTTCTCTGCTAAAGGTATGACCCCTCAAAGCCCTGCCCGTCTCTCTTTTCCCCTGCTTTTCTTTCTCATCTCCCCACATCATGTTCTGCCATTGCTGTTCTGTATTAGGACAGCAATCTACTACCTGGTTCATCCTTTTCCAAGCCTGTTTTTATTTGCACTGTTACTCAGTCGACAGAATTAACATTTGAAGGACTTGTTTGGGTCATGTTATCCAAAACTATAAACCCTATCAAACCTACAGACACCTGTAAGAAGTCAAGGTTCTGTTTACAAACAATGTAAATATAGCCTCACAGGTACAACAGTGTATTTGTACCTTTTCATAACCAAATGTCTTAAAACGGAACAATAAAATAAAAAGCCTGCAGACGAGACGGGGTGTGTGGAGTCAATACAGCTTAAAAAATCTAAATTTTGAATAGATTATGATACAGTTATGTTCCCTGACTAAAGGTACTGAGATGTACCCTAGAGAGTACCACCCCAGTGGCAAGACGGGCACTGCCCCAGTGACAGTTTAGTAACTTTATTTCTGAGAGTGCAGTGATACATTCAGAGACTTTGACTTTATCCTTTTTAAACTTATTATATTTATAGTTTATGGCTTAAAGTACTGAAACTGTTTCCTATATTCCATTCATTATTCCATCATATTGTTGAGGTCCTACCTCAAAAGGAGCATGGTTTATTATTTTTTTCTTTTATTATATTAAAAATTAATGCTGCCTTCCAAAGTGGTTGACCATGTGCATGTCCACCTTAAGACTGTAGTAATGCGGAATTGTAGCTTTTTTCTATCACTATTTTAAAAAAAGCACATTCTCAGAAAAAAGGCACTAAACTGTCACTAAGGTGGTACTTTAAAGGGTACATCTTCACTACCTTTAGTTAGGGAACATAATTGTACCATATTCCTTTTCGATTAACTGGAATTAACTCCTGTCTTAACTCCAGGCTTTTTATTCAGCTTTTTTCTTTTAAGGCTAAGAAAAGGTACAGATATTTGTCTTTCTCCTGGGAAAGTGAATGTAGTGTACCTGTAAAACTCCTTTCCACAAATGGTTGTAACTTCGATGGTGTATTTATATTGTTTGTACTTTGGTGGACAAGGTCTACTTGTACAGTACCCTTTTTCTGACTGTATGCCAGTTGTTGTTTTCATATATGGTAAGTTCCCTTCACTAAAAGACAGAGGCCAAAAAAATCACATGCACATTTCCAGCCTTTTCAAGACTAGGTTGTTGATCTGATGCTAATTGTACCCCTTTCTCAGATGATAAGTGAAGCTGTACAATGTGAACAGTGCTTTACAGTTTAAAAAGGCTCCAATTAAGTGTGTTAAAGCTCTTTATTGCGTGTGATCTCAGACATAACTAATGCTCTGGAGATCCACTGACCAGCTACTAGCTCCCTCTTCTGATAGTATTGTCTATGACACATGACCCACACTGACTGTACTGTGCTGGCCTATTTGTTGTATCTTGCAACTAGATAGAATCTTATTTTGCAACCAAAACTACTGATAGTCCAGTTAAAAAGTCCTTTAGAGGCACAAAAACTGGACTTTGCTGATGGTCTGACCGCAGCACCATTATAGTCACATTCCATCACTTGTATATTGTTTGCTACACCAATTAGAAGGTAGGAGTTAAATGCACACCATCAAAGCTGCTGTTCAGTAAAGCTCAACAATACCTGGACTCGAATGGACAGACTTGGTCAGCAGCTTATTCATCCTAGTTTTAAACGGTGAAGAATTTGGCTTCTGCCATGGTTGACGTCAGTGCTCCAGCTCTACTGTGGCTAAGATGTGTTTATTTCACTGATAGTTGCACTGAAATCTGGCATTTTTCATGACGTCTTGGCAGAGGAAGGTTTTATCTCTTCTCAGCGTTGCCTCTTGTTTTCACTCTCACTCTCTCTTTCTTTCAACTTTGTCTTCATGTTTCCACTTACCCCCTGGCTGCACCTTCAGAGTGCCTCGCGTTGCTGCGTATGAAGATAGAGCTGCTGCTCTTCTTCCAGTAGCCAGAAACACTCTGCAGCTTCACTCAGACTCACACTACTCACTTACAAACACTGCCTTCAATAAAAGTGAGAGACTACCTTTCATTTATTTAACATTCAGTCACAACGGCTGTTAAGTAGCAGGTATTCATTTTATCAGAAGATATTTCTGAGGTTGGTAGATATAAATGAATGTACTTGCATAAGGAAGGGGAACGTCAAAAGAAAAAAAAGTGAGAAAACAGCAGTTTTTCTGAACTGAAGTTAAAAAAAAAATGGAAGTTCTAGGGAAAATGTGACTCCTAACAACCATGCAATACCACCGAAACTGTCCTCATGAGTTAAACAGCACTTAAAGCTTTCATCTTTGAGAGAGAGGAGAAAATTAAGCTCCACTTTTGTTCAGATCTAAAAAAATTCACGGGTGTTTCTGTCCATCCTTCCACTGTGAGAAGACAACTTGGTGCTATGGGTCTGAAAGGATGTGTAGCTGTTCAAGAAGCCTCACTGAGAAAAAGAGACGGATATAAAAGAAGAACATTTGCAAATCAAACAAAGAAGCTGCTGTGTTCTTGACTGACCACCCCAGAGTCCAGACCTCAGCATCGCTGAATGTGATTGGGAGTACTTGTATATTGAGAAACAGAAAATGCAGCCAACTTCTAAGACTGAACTGTGGAGGTGTGGAAAAATATCCCTGCAGATTTCTTCGAAAAGCTGAAAGCAAGTTTCCTGAAAGAAATGGAAGCTTTAATAATGGCAAAGGGTCAAACACTAAATACTTAAAACGTGATGTTATATTTAGTTGTTGAGACTTCTGTGTAAATTCCTGTTAATGATGTTTCCTGATTTTTTTTTTTTTTGAACTTTTGAACTTTTTTAACCCTTGGAAGTAGCAATTATCACCACTGATAACAAGAGCATGTTGAATTTCATTTTAAGTACTGTATTTCTTACTCGTAGATGATTAGAAGTAACTATTTATTTGGATAGCCCACTGTAGATGTTTACTTCGCATTTAAGTGACATTCATTTAAATATGTATTAAATTTGCCTCACTGCTCCTTAACACTAAGCCTAATATTCGCTCGAACCATAGCTTCAACCCAAAACCTAAACCTAATCCTAATCCTTGGTCTTGAACCGAACCTTAACCCTAATGCTAATGAGAATCACCAGATAGTTAACAATTTGAACATCTGTCGATAATCCATAGAGAGCTATCCCAATAAAGTAGGACCAAAAGGAAAATTCTATTGTCAACATTCAGTCAATGCCACATTGAGTGTGTTTGTAAGTAGAAGGAGAAGAAATGTTTTATTATTTTGTATTTTGCCCTGTTTTTGTCATTGTGTGACATTGAAACAAACAGAAAAACTTCAAAGTCGATGATTCAGAATCGAAATCGAATGTAATTAATTACGTAACTGACATTATAATGAATCATGTAGCAAAACAACAGCAATAGCTCTAAATGCAAGTCAGGAATTCACATGGATATGGGAGTTGTTGGCTGTAAGCTGCGTGTTTGCACACCCACTGAAACTCTAATTAACTCTACGATTGGCCCTAGCCTGAGTTTGCCCAACCACACCGCGTCCCCTGCACAGGCTAAATTAGACATGTCTGCTTTCACTACTGACCAAGAACAAGTCATATTTTGTCCAAGAAGTTTCCATTTTTAACAAGCAACTAAAAACAGGTTGTCTAAGTTGAGATTATCTAAGTTTATATATCCTCTGTCACAGCCAAGCCTAGTTATTATCTAAATGTGTTTTTACAGACCTTGTGCTTTCTGAAAGATTAGGCCTCTTTACACTGTGGAACATGTATGCACACATGGGGGGATCTGGCACGTGCTCTGTTCCGTCTGTACATTCTAAAGCTGCCTGTCTGTAGCACAAGCTTGCTCTTATACGCACATAATCTGAATGATGTGTCTCATTAAATATTCTTATCAAGTTGTGTTAAATAAATAAAGAAAGAAATATATAACAAAAAAAATCAAAAGAGAAAAAAAGTCAGAGACCACGCTTTGATTTATTTCATTTCCAGTCAAGAAGGCCATGAAGTACAATCATCATTTTCCAGCATTGTTAAAAATGCGGAAAACATATATTTAACAGAAAATTGAAGAAAAGATACAACAAATAAATGAATATCAGTTTTTTTCAGTATTTAGTGTGTCCACGCTTTGCCTTTATTACGGCTTCCATTCTCTTCTGGAGACTCACATACAGGGATGTTTTTCCACACCTCCAGTCTTTGGAGTTTCTGCTCCTCACAATCCAGAAAATCCCAAACACATTCAGTTATGTTGAGGTCTGGACTCTGAGGTGGTCATTCCATTGTTCTGAGAACACCAGCAGCTTCTATGTTTGATTTGCAATTTTTTTTCGTCTGTTTCCTTTTCTCAGTAAGGGCTTCTCTACAGCTACACATCCTTTCAGACACTATAACGTAAAGATGTCTTCTCACAGTGGAAGGATGGACAGAAACACCTGTGAATTTTTTCAGATCTCAACAAGAGTAGAGCTTGATTTTCTCCTCTCTTTCGAAGATAAAAGCTTTAAGTACTGTTTATCTGAAAGGGACAGTTTTGGTGGTCTACCAGGTCTTGTAAGGTACTTAGAAATCACATTTTCTCTGTAGCTTTAAATAATTTTTTGAACTGAATATTTTTTCTATATTTTTTTTGCTTATTTTTCTTTGACTTTCTGCTTCCTTATGCAAGCGAAGTATGTTTTATCTGACATTTGCACATTACTGTATGTTTATACCGTATATGTATTGTTCTGGTTTGTTACTATATGTTTAACTGGAATAAAGCAGGAAGCTAACAAGTGCTCTACTATCTGCAGGTGAAGGTGCGGGAGAAGCCATGTGTTCAGAAAGAGACAGATAACACCAGCCATCTCGCATCATCAGACACGCAGGACAGGCAAGCTCACAGAGAGCTGCTGAAACTGAAGGACATGCTCACTCAGCGTGACAATGAGATCAGTATCCTTTGTCCAGTCTGTACAGCACCATTATGTACACTACAGTTACCCCAGTTACCTCAGTACTGCTTCTTTCATGAACTGCAGTACATGCATGCATTTCTTGATAACCGTTTTAATGAGCCTTGGAGGGCTATCAGTATTAATTGATTGATACTCAGACCGGCAGTCTAATGGCTAATTATTAGTAAAAGTGCACAGATAATTTGATTCCAATATGCTGTAGTAAATATTCTGAAAAAGGCCAGCATTAGAAAAAGGCCAGGAGATGCCCTTTTTTACATCTACTGCTGTAAACATGCCAAACCATGCTTCTTTTGAGGTAGGACCTCAATAATATGATGGGATGTCTGCATTTCATGTAAGAATAATGAATGGAATACAGGAAACAGTTTCAGTAATTTAAGCCATAAATTATAAAATATAAGGATTTATGTGTAAATAATCAGGTTACATAAAATTCCAACAGTACATCTCCTTACTGTCGAAAGTTTGTGTACCTAGTTCACCATAATTGTGCTTGTTTAAGGGTGAAGTTTCACATTTTTGGGGTTTGGGGGAAATTAGCGTTTTAACCACGTCTTGTGTCATTACATCTGACTACATACGGTGGAAAATTTAGACGATGACTTGATCATCTATTGGTACAGTTTTAAATCCAATGTAAACATGTTATCAGGCTGACATTTCACTTTTGTGTATTTTGGGTGGAGAGGGGTAATCTGAAGTTCATCTGTTCCTATAGAACAGCCTCATTAAAATGACACGCTAGCAGTCACACACATCTGCATTGGTTTCCCCCATTAACCCCTTAAATGGCCAAGGCCCAAAGTTTTACTGCACACTTCTATAACCTAAGAATAACTCCATGTAGTCCATAGTCCATGTAGTTACTGAATAATACGCATTTGTATGTCATTAGATTTTAAGGGGTTAATTAAAGGGGAATTTCACAGGTTTTTCAACATTTCAGCCTAATTCAGTCATTGAAGTCATTCAGAGTGGTTAGACGTGAAATGGTTCACTATAGAGAAACATAACTAACTAGTAAACCAACTAGTAAAGTCCTTTTGTTGATTTTCTAAGTGAAAATAAGTTAATACATTTTTGTACATTTTAAAGCACAACTGCTGTTTTTTTTTTCTTTTACTAAACATAACATATTAAAAAAGTCCAAAACATTAAATGTGTTTTTTCCAAAAGTTATGGCACATTTTATGTTATGCTTTTTTACAGTATGTTAAACCTGTTCCCTGTAGAGGATGTGATAACTTATTTCTACTTTGCAGTGATCAAACTTTTGCTTACTCTGGTATCGTGATAATAGTAAAAATAGTGGTAAGTCTAAAAAATAACGTTTTTTGGGGGGTGCCTACCTTGCCTTACAACGCCCTGCATTTGCCTCTCCACCTTAAATTGATTCAAAATAATACATTTTAGCCCAAAAAAACATTCCAAATATTGAGCACTCTGAGGGTTTCCCCAGTCACAAGATAAAGACATCAATATACTCCTTTTATGGCTTCCACACAGCAGCTAAACATAGTAGCACACTAAAAGAGATGAAAGTAAAGACAGGCTTAGTTTAATCTCTTATCAAATACATCAGGAAGCCTTCAGCAGTGAGTTCTCATATACCTCGAAACACCGTATAGAGCTTATGACAGCTCTGTTCCCACCATAAATATTGAGTTTTTCAGCACAGCAATATTAGCTTGCATGTCACTGGTGTAAGGGAAAGATTCATTGGTCTCCATGAAGAATCCAAACGTATTGGCAGGGCTTAAATCCTCAGTTCAGACTACCATCTCCCCTTGAGGAGGGATATACTGTACTGGACTCTCAAATGCACTCACCCACCTGGGCTTCAGCAGCACAGTGCAGGGGAGATGAATTTACTGTCTTTGCTTTGCAGGTCGTCTTTTTTTCTTCTTTGCACTGAAAGCAAATGTGGAGACACGATTTTTGCAAGTGTTCATAACCACAGCAAGCTGTTGTTTGGGTCAAAAGGCAAGACACCAGAACCAGTATCAATAAATTAGAGACTTCATACTTCGTTCTTGTCAGATGCAGTTTATTGATGCATTACAATTGCCAATATTCTCTCCATGGCTTTTTGTTTCTGAAGATGTACATCAAAACCCCCGAAACAGATCAGAATGTTCTAGTTCTAGTTTTCTTCTTTTTATTGTCTTTGCATTACGTTGTCAGTCAGCTCTCTCACTTTGTTTCTCTGGGATTGTGAACATCTGCTCATGTTTCTCAGGGTCTGATTGCTTCAGAAAGACTGAGGGTACCAGTGTTTTAGTGTCATGTGCACCAAACAGGAAGCAGAATTGTGGTTAACATTTCATTTTTAAGCATTTTTAAGCTTTTAGCTTTGCTTTAGCTTTTATGCAATGCTGTTTGGAGGGCAGAGATTCACATGGGTTTATTACACATTTCAGTAAGCACTGTAGTCCATGTAGCTACTGAATAATAAGGCTTAGGTTGTAATAAGGCTTGAATGTAAAGAGGTTGATAGTAAAAAAAGATGTTACATAAGGTATTACATGCCAGCTTCTACCTGAATGTTACCAGAGAGAGAGAGAGAGAAAGAAACATGGGGCCCACAGAAGATCTCTCCAGGTCTCTCAGTAAATGCAAATGTCTGAAATGAGTTTTCTGTCCCCGAAAGTCTTTCTCAGTTTAATTGGTAGACCACCAAAACTGTCCCCATCAGATAAGCAGCACTGAGAAAATCAAGCTGCTTCAGATTTGAAATAATCCACAGGTGTTTCTGTCCATCCTTCCACTGTGAGAAGACAACTCAGTGCTTTGAGTCAGAAAGGATGAGTAGAAGCCATTACTGATAAATGGAAGTATACCAAAAAAAAGGAAAACTAGTCATCAATATGTGGAGTAAGGTTTTATGGACTGATGAGTCTTAATATGTATTTGGGATTACTTGGATCACACGAAGCAGAAAATGCAACCAACTTCGAAGACTGAACTTTGGAGGTGTCAGAAAATATACCTACAGATTTCTTCGAAGCTGTAATAAAGGCAAATGGTGTAAACTGTTTGCTGTATAGTTGTTTTTGTATAGTTAATTATATGTCTCCTGCTTTTTTCTTGACCCTAAAAATGAATAGCTTGTACTTACAGTCATTCTGACTGTAAATGAGATAAATTAGTGGTCCCTGATTTTTGCACAGTACTATACATGTCTTCCAACATCCTTTTCTTAATATAGAAGCATTTGTTCTAGTCAAATAGTTAGAAAAGTCCTCATTCTCTTTGGATCCAGGATCTGGTCTCCACCAAAAACATGAAAAACTTGCTGCCCTAAAAATATTGAGCCATTTATTTTAATGTTCAGGGCCAAAACATATTTCAGACCTGCAGAATTATGAGTTTGTCTTTGCTGACCAGCTTCATTTTTAGAGAAACCAAACTATATGTCTTAGTGCCCCACATGGTAAAATAAGAAAAGAATGTAGCAGCCATAAAACAAGCAGCTCTTATAAGAACCATGATTGAATTCCTCATTTTTATGGTTTAAAGATGAGAAACGTTGCCCCTCAGCTGTAGTTACAGTGTTTTCTGCTGTTCATCTTCTATGATCTAGACACCTGAACCTGTCTTCATATTATCTATGATATCAATCTTGCAAAATCTGTTCACTGGAAACACATTCAAGTTCAAAATGAGCACCATTCTTAACCCAAGCTTATCAGGTATACTGGTGAGCATGCTGAAGAAGGAAAAGAAGAAGGTTCAAGAAGCCAATGCCCAGTTAGCAAACTTCTCCAATGGAGATATGACATCACATAGCTCATCCACCAGCACTCTTGGTGAAAAGAGGTTGAAGGATGAAACTTCAGAGAACTTCCCACTTGCTCAGCATCTGATTAACAGGCAGAGAGGTGAGTAATCAAACCACATTTTTTCTGCCTTACATCATTTAATGGCCTAGATTTGCATGACTGAAATGCCTTTGAATGCCATTATGCTTAATCTGAAGGCCTGATGACACATTTTGGGGAATTTTAGGAGTTACTTTACTTGATCTGACTGACCTTTTGGATGTTATTATTTTAAGATTGTTCATACTTTGTACAGTCTGTTCTTTAGTGGCTACATCCATCCTGTAAATGCTCCTTCGATGTCTCAGACCACCGAGAACCTATCAGAAACACCAAATGTTCCATGATCTTTATGATTTATTACAGGGACCATATTGTACATTTCACTAATATTGTATTTCTCCCCTCAAGTCAAGTTTTAATGTCTTCTGTGGTTTTATGTAGCAAAAGTAGTCATAATTCATTTTTTACATGACAATTTTCCAACATTTCTTTACCCCTTAGAATTAAACAAGCTGTTTTTGTATATGTAAATTACTTCTGTTCTGATTGGTTGTTCTTTGTTTAAAAAGCAACCCAGGCTGAAATGGTGTACAAAACTGTATTAGTTTAAGGAGAAACACTCCGCTGCACCAGAGTTCGAACTTCTGTCACTCCTTTTGGATGTATAGATCCTTCAAAAAGCTATGATAATACATTTGTTTTCTCTGCTGCTAACTTTTAAACATTTTCCCTGCATATTCTTCTCCTGCAGTAAAAACACTGCATCGCTTCAATGTGCTGAACTGTTATATCCTGAATGAGTGATCGTGCACTGTATGTGGGCACATCTCTCAATTATTGAGTTTAGGTGTTATAGCCACACCCATTGCTAACAGGTGTATAAAATCAAGCACACTGCCATAAATCTCCATGGACAAACGTTGGCAGTACAGTGGAACAGAGACATTTTAAACAGTTCCAATTTAGTGACAGCAGTTTGGGGAAGGCCCTGTCCTGTTCCAGCATGACTGTGCCCCTGTGCACAAAGTGAGCTCCATAAAGACATGGTTTGACAAGTTTGATGTTGAGGAACTCCAGTGGCCTGTTGAACTTGGGTGTCCAACAAGCTCATATAGGTGTGAAGGTCAGGTATCCACATAAGTTTTGCCATGTAGTGTAAATTCTGTTGTGATTGGTTACCCTGAATTGTGCCTTGTTCAAATAGCAGTCCAGGCCTAGATGTGCAACAACCTGTTAAGTTTGGCATGAAAAACTTAGGGACATCAGAAAAATTCAGAAAGTTTTCAGCCACTAATTTTGGCTCCTTTGGAATGTTTTGGAATCATTTTCTTTTCCCACAAGACTGTCTACAGTAACAACACTCTACTTCAATATGAATAAAAAGGGCTAAATTACTGTAGCCTGAATGGGTGATCATATGTAAAGTTGTTCATGGTTCTGACATCACGATTGTGTTGGTGCAGCAGCTTTGCAGCATATATGGACTGGAATGTTTTGAAACAGTGTTTATGATATGTTTATGCTGCAGGTTGAGATAATGTTTATGTAATAAACATCAGCCTCTTATTCAGACCTTTTTTTTACATTTATGGCATTTGGCAGACACTCTTATCCAGAGCGACTTACAGTTTGATCATTTTACACAGGTAGGCGAAGGTAGTGTTACGAGTCTTGCCCAAGGACTCTTATTGGTATAGTCTAGGGTGCTTGCCTAGGCAGGGATTGAACCTCAGCCTACAGCATAGAAGGCAGAGGTGTTACCCACTACACTATATTCATGATGTGACTCCACAAAGTTACATGGCCATTACCAGAACTCATATTTAGAATACAGTGTAGGTAAAATGAGACAACAAAGGAAAGCAACTGGTCAGAAACTACTTCTGGAACTAGTGGAATTTAGTCCTCAGTATTGTCCCTTGTAAGTGTTGTGATATTCTGGAAGTTCTTATTTGCTTAATTTCCGTGCACTTATTGGGGCTGTCTTTGTGGCAATAATAAGCAATGATATTGAGAGCATACCAAAGTTATTTGGACCTTTGCTGACCCCAGGGTTTAATGGGAATATAAAGATTCTGTTCAATCTTCTGACTATTTGAGAAGCAACAGGGTCTAGGATTTTAGCTCAGAAACATAACCAGTTGCTTTCACCATGCAGAGTGGTTCCTCCTGTAAGCCTGGCTGTAGCCTTGGGTAAGAGCGCCGCAGCAGATTCCATCGCTTTTCAGGAGTACACTGAGAGAGCCAGAGCTCCTCACCATTAACCACCATGTGTTTGGCTCTCAACCTCTCAGCATGGTTTTGTAGGGACTTAAAGATGATGATAAACCTGGATGCTGATAATTACTGTGATCGTGGCTTTGGGGATGCAGCGCGGGCCAGCAACTCATCAACCGAACCGCTGCTCCTGTCCGCTCCTCCACAGGCCCCGGATCAGCCACCCCTTTCGCTGGACATTTTTGGTTAATGATGCCCCCGCTCGGTAATAGGACCAGCGAGAGTAATTGCAAGCAGGGTTCAGAAAGAGGAGACCATTAAAAAACAAACACATGTTTGGACGGTGTCCAGGTCTAGTTAGGAGAGAATCAATCACTCATCAAGCTGCGATGCACGACAGCTAATGGACAGTCCTGGAGAGTCGTGTTTATAAAACGCTGAATAAATGATGTGTGTGTATGTGTGTGTGTGTGTGTGTGTGTGTGCGTCTTGCGGGCTGCTTCTGCGTTTTTTGTCTCAGATTTCTCACAGAAAAACTGTAATGGACCCTTGTGCCATCACTGCTCTGTATTTGCAGGGGGAATTTATGAGCTGGTGGTGCTCATTTAAATTCGGTTGATCCGTCACATCCTAGTAACTCTAGTAGTTCTGGACCTTTGCGCTGTCTCAAGACTGCATTCCATCTGTTGTCCAATGCAACCAATACTGAGGTTAACAGTGCAGGGCAGCTGTCCACTTATTTCCTCAAATATTTACATTTTTTCTTTGTACTCACAGTTCTCTGCTTCTGTGTGCACAACCTTATGGCACACAACATGAATCAGGATCAGTGTATCAGTGAATCAGATGCCGTTACATGTTTTTTCGACAAAAGCCTGGTTTTGAATTTGGATTTGGTGAATTATTTTTGAACGTTGCTAACCAGGTTTTCTCTGGCACGTCGGTGACATATTTCTTCTTATTTTTCGCCAACATATGCAGTAATAAATTGTAGCGAGGCACACGTGGCTTAATATAAACAGCGTTGCACTGATACAGGACGAGTGCTAAGTCAGAGGGCCTAGCCTCATTTGAACCGAATGAAATGTGGATTGAACATGTTGTTTCAGTGTTGTCCGCTAAATTGGAGTGCTGGTGTTTGTTTAGCGCCTAAGAAGTGCTGGACTTAAAGACAAAGCCAAAGGAATCTGAAATGCTGCAAACTTTGCAGAATCCTCTTGGCTTGATCTCAAGACTGGGAACGCTCAATGACCTATGGGGCTGTTTTTAGGCAAGTTCCCTTACAGGCAATTAGTTATCCATTCAAATGACATTTTTAGAGATTTTTTCTCATCTCAGCACATGATGGGTATTTACATATACTTTACAATACAATACCTGATGACATTAATTAAATATATTACATCAAGAGCTGCCACTGTCTGTATTTACACCGATCAGGCATAACATTATGACCACCTGCTTGTTTCTATGCTCATTGTACATTTTATCAGCTCCACTTACTATATAGGTGCACTTTGTAGTTCTACAGTTACAGACTGTAGTCCATCTGTTTCTCTGCATACTTTGTTAGCCCCCTTTTACCCTGTTCTTCAGTGGTCAGGACCCCCATGGACCCTCACAGAGCAGTTACTATTTGGGTTCGTGGATCATTCTCAGCACTACAGTAACACTGACGTGGTGGTGGTGTGTTAGTGTGTGTTGCGCTGGTCTGAGTGGATCAGACACAGCAGTGCTGCTGGAGTTTTTAAACACTGTGTCCACTCACTGTCCACTCTGGTGAACTACCTGATAAAATGGAGAGCTGATAAAATGGACAATGAGCATAGAAACAAGGAGATGGTCATAATGTTATGCCTGATTGGTGTATACTGTATGGTATCTGCAGGTATTAGCCATTGAGAAATTTTGAGAAATCACATGTGCACATATCCTTATACAGCAGTATTTAATACAGAAATCATCACTTATAAGTAACCTGAGTACCACCACTAAGGTAATGATCATTTCTGCTAGCTTTTCTGTGAGAATTTCAGTGTTATGTTACCAAGCTGGAGGTGGTGTTCACTTCCCACACTGAATAATACTACTTAGGCTAGCTCTGCTTAAAGACGGACATTTGAAGTGCGTGAAAAATTCTAACAGATGTTCTGATCCCCTATTGTTTACTTTGCATGTTTGCAGTTTTACAGTGAATCCTTCAGTAAAACCTATTGAGTCTTAATAGAGGAGCATGTTAGCCTGTCAGCTGTCTTCTGAGCTGTTCCTCATAGACCTACATTCGTGAGATCCTGCTGAATACTACTGATGCTCACATAAGCAAACTGAGTGCTATTAGCTGGATTGGATTTATAATGGCCTGCAGATACCATATTTAATTTTCATGAATTTATCAAATTTGAATGATAATCATGACACTCCTAAAAGTTTTTGCCAGTAAACTGAAAGATTATTGTATTATTATACTATTTTTATTCATTTGGAAATGATGTACAAATTAAACCAAGTAAATTCAGTTTGTCACTTTTTTCTAAATCAGTGATATGCTTTCGTCAGGCTATGGAGATCCTGGTCAGATAGGCCTTGATAGGTGTCATGCTGAAAGTTCATGTGCTGAAGAGAAATAATTTAGAGAAATAACATCTCCTTCTTTTAAAGGAGCTGCACACTTTAACTCAGTTTTTGGCTTGTGTCTCAGTACTGCAGTGGTGTAATAGTTTCTCATAACTTTTCCTGGAGGGAAGCTGAGAAATCATACAGACGCTTATAAAATCCATATGTATGTCCTAATTTTGGTCTGGCAGATGGAGAGTTAATTTTGGACCAATCAAATAATTAGA